TTTTCCTTTCCTAAGCCAACACCTTTTGAGTTAAACAAATCTTTTCTTGATAAAAAGTTAAAAAAAAGACAGCTACAATCATCACTGTTAGGCCCAGTTCAAATTTCAAACTTCTCATGTGCCAAAACTAATGCACAAATTACTAAAATTTATTTCACTTGTTTAGAGCATGCTAGACCGTTGAACGTACATCGTGAAAATGAATTGAGTTTGACTAATTAAGTTCCACGCCTGAATCAATCTTGAACTTATGTCATTTGGGTCAACCTAAATAAGTATTAAGTTCAGTACATGAAAAGATCAACATTTGAACTGGGCGTTACCTTTCTTTTCGGCAACTTTTCTCTGTCATGACGGACAACACTAGGTAGAAAACAAGCAGTTGTGATGTGGCTGTGAGCTAAGTTAATGAATGAATGAACTCAGAAGTCTTCACTATTTTTTTTTTCATTTCACCAGTAGGGAAATCAATGTAAACACAACCCAACACACATTTAACCCATTGGCTACTTATTTTTAGAAGAAAACTGACAATAAGTATGCATGAATTCTTATCGGTTTCACCATTGTCTTCACAACGAGAAAGCTGGTGAAAACATACTGTCCCAGAAGGACGACAGTAAAAGGTCATGCGTATTTTGCGTGATGTAACATCTATCCAACCGTCCCAGGTGACCGTAGTGACCTATCTTAAAGTAGCACTGCAGAGTGGCAAAACTTGGGAAGAACTTGAGAATTGTGTATCATAATAATGACAATGATGAAAACTATAGTCAGTTAAATCCTTAGCATTTTAAAGACCTATAGTCATAAGCAGTTGTGAAGAAAAACCTGCAAATTACATATTGGATAGTACTGCAAATGGATGACGTTTTTATTCTGAGATAAAGGTCAACTGATATACACTGGTTTGTGTAGACATTTTCTTGTTTTGATGCTTTATTTTTACATAATTACAGGAATTAGGTGATGAATTTGACTCCACCACACGAGAAAACCTTCCAATGGATGGATGGCGAGAGGTATAGAAAAAAACTAGGATTATTGTTGTGCTACCGCAGTGCCTGGCTGTCATTAAGGGCTGGGGTTAGGAAAATAAAGGAAAATAAAAATAAAACCCAGAAGAACTTGGTAGGTGTTTCATGCCCCCTACCAATTTCAGCAACTTGAAATCTTAGTGGCAGCCCTGCCAACAGGAAACTGTAAATACCTAAGTGACCACAAACAAAAAAATGCAAACCACCAACAATGTCCATTGCATCTTGTTACGAATAATGGTATCTTTGGATCCTAGACTACAGGGCCGGGTTGGTCGAAGCTGGGTTAAGATAACCCTGGGTTAGTGCGAAATTTGAACTCAGATGTGAGAGATTAAAAAGCAAATTCAGTTTAATTCTCTGCCTACAATTTGATAATTGGATACTCTAAAAAGAATAGAGAAAATTATCCGAGAAAGTGCTTTTGATAAAAAGATAAAGAAACCTGTGTTAAAATTTAACCGCAGGTTAGCGCTAACCGGCGTTCGAACAACTGGGCCCAGGTGTTTTCCTTGTGACTTTTATTATAACATATCCAATGTAATTCTCATGTTCATGAATTTTGAGGCCTGAAGTTTAAACATCTCTGCTCATAATAAGTCGAACATTGCCTGACGGTAAAATTAGCAGTAACTGGTAATTCATTTTTATGTTGTAGGTTTGATAAATTTGCACTCACTAGCCAATTTACCAAGTGAATGAATCAATATTAATGTTCCAAAGTAAATAATATTTTGAACGGCTAATCAATAGAAACCAAAGTAAAAATATATATATCATGTGTTTCAAAGAATGAAAATATCGAAGAACAACTTACTTTTGGACTTGATAATGACTCATTTTTCCACATGTAATTCTGACTTAATTTCAATTTTATCTTAGCTCGTAAAAGCCAAGAAGGTGATAGTAGCAAATCTTTATTTATAACGTGTATTTACTTCTAATTCTAGGATCTTGTTGATTGGAACAAAGCTATCCTACCTCAAGTTGGAAAGCTTGGCCCAAACTACCTAAACTGGGTTCATTCACCAGTTGATCGACCCTTAAGGCTCTTCGAGTCTGACTTTGTAGAATTCTTCTCCACAACGCCCTGGTATGTTGTGCCAATTATCTGGATACCAACAATGTTATATATGTGCTACCTGTCCATTCAAGATTTGACTGCTGGGGATGGAGTTCAGAACATTGATCCGTATTTTGTGGATTCCAAGACTAAGGTTGCATCAGTTTTTTCTGCTCTGTTTCTGTGTGGATTGTTGTTGTGGTCATTTATTGAATACTGCTTGCATCGCTTCTTGTTTCACCTCATCAATCACGTTCCTGCTGATGATCCATTTTGGATAACCATTCACTTCTTTCTTCATGGACAACACCACAAGGTAAGGGTTTGTTTTTTTCCCAGTAGTTTTTGTTGGTTTTTGTTCAAGGACAAGGTGGGTTTGGAATTTTAAGGACAGTCTAAGGTGACAATGTGTGTAGTGACTTCACAACAATTCACAGAACTCTTTAAGTCAATCTGATCCTAATAGTCCTTTTATTCATGACCTCATTCTGTCATGGCAGGAAACTCAGATACAGTTAAGACTACAAGTTGTCCTTCATATCCTCAGGGAATGAGGGAAAATTGCCACTTGTGAGGAAGGTGCATGACACACAGAGAGAGAGAGAGAGAGAGAGAGGAAATCTGTAGTCCCCCATTTTCTTTCCTTCTTTCTCATCTTGCCTCTCCTCACATGTGGCAGTTTCCACACGTGCTTGCAAATTTCGCTTACGAAGTTCAACTATCTCTAAAGAGAGTAAGTAAAATGAGAAACTACTCACTATTCTAAGTACTGTTGGACCACTTAATTTTTCTGGCAGTTATTTGAGGGACATGCCATGGCCATTAGAGAGCTTTAGATTTGAGGACAAGGATGACTACGAGTAAAAGATTTAACTTAAATTAAGTTTTTTCGCATATTGTGGAAAAAAAATGTCAACCCAGAAAGTTTCATTGTACTCTTTTTGCCCCGGAAAATTAGTGCGGTTATTATTATTGAGAAGCTTTGGCCCTTTTCCAGTTGCAAAATGATTAAAAAATTCTAAAATTTGATAACTTGTTACTGCCACTACGACATTCTCACTAAAACTCGTAGTAGAATGACAATGGCCAACACGTTTTCTCCCAAAATGACGTTGGTTCATCCAAGAGCACCAAATACTGAGAAAATCTCATACTCGTAGTTGTCCTTGTCTCAGAATCTAAAGCTCTGGAAGTCCTAAGAGTGACAAAACATCGAAATATTTTCTCTTTTAACAATATCTGTTTCAATATGTAATCAAGAGAAATGGTTATGAGAGTTTTAAGAGTTCTGTCATATTATTGTTATATTCTCTCAACTAATTATCTAAGGAAATGTATGGAGACAAGTCTAGAGAATGTATATGTGAATATTTGGGGCTTGCAGAAGGGTTAACTACTTATTAACTTTTGTCAGAACCAACCAACGAGACCAGTCCAATTCCAAAGAGAATTCCACTTTTAGTCAGGAATGTCAAACAGATTGGTCTATTCCTGAATAGTATCCTGAGTAGAGTAAGTTTTTATCAAAAATGTCGAAAAGAGCCTATTTCATTTACAAAATGACTGGTCTGTTTAGCCACTGATTTTTGGTAAACACCCTAAGGTGTGAAATTAGCTAACAAGGCAGCTGACATCTACTAAGTTTTATAATCAGTGGAGAACAATATAATTTAGGTAAAATTTGTTGCCGTAGAGAGGTCAAAACAGTTAGTCATTCACTGTCTTATATATTGTTGTTAGGTGCCATTTGATAGTGGACGGCTGGTCTTTCCTCCTGTAGCAGCCGGGGTATTGGCCAGCATGTTCTACTACCTGTTCATTACATGTCTGCCACCGGCCATTGCCAAGAGCATCTTTGCAGGAGGTTTACTGGGTTATATCATGTACGATATGATGCATTATTATCTTCACCATGGCTCTCCAACTCCAGGAAGTTACCTACACCAGCTTAAAAAATACCATGTTTCTCACCATTTTGAAGACCAACAGAAAGGTACTTTAACAGTTAGCTTTCCACATAGCTGAATGTCAAGAACTTTAATGCTCCTAGGAAATAGTATGAGTGAATTCATTTTGATGGCAGGGTTCGAGGATGCAAATAGAGAGACCTCAGAGTGGTCACAACAAGGATTATTGATTTCATTGTTTGCTTCTTTACAAGCTTTTTTTATCAATATAATTCATTATAAGAAGGAGCTTATTGGTACTGAGTATAATGTGTGGTTCCTGAAAACATCCATACTCTCAATGTAAAGAGAACTTAAAATTCTAGTGGAGTGGGTAGGTCAAATGGGGGAATGCTTCAGTCATGTTAATAAAAAAACTGAAATTTGATACAATTTTGTGAGTTTCTCTACTCCCAAGAATTTTTATGATGCCTTCCTCAAGCTCAAAATCTGTGACCATAGCTGGTTGGGCTAGTTATTATTTTTTAAAGCAAAACAGTAAGAACCCACAGGTAAGAACCTGCATTTTCCAAAGTTAGCCTAAACAGGTTCTTACATAAATGGTAATCAGCACAAATTTTGGTTTTTTAGGTTCTTAAAGAGCTTTTAATTATTATTTATTTTTATACATTGAAGCTAAGAGTATTTAGTTGTGTTCAGCCTAGTCTCCTTATATAACATTTGCATACCAGCCAAGTTAGTAGTTATGACTTATCTTATTTGCCAAGGAGTACAGGTTTTTTTTAATAGTTTTTAGAAAATAAGAATCTGTTTTAAGTTTTAGGCTAAATGGGGTCTTGTATAGAGGGTGCGTGACTGGCAAATTTTAGCCTAATAGGTTTTTAAAAACCAGGTTCTTTCTCGTGGGTTTTTGCTGTAGCCTTAAAAAACTCTTAGCAAATTTTGTCATTCCATTAGAATGTGTCTTCACTTGCTGTGGTAACAATTGACTTTTATTCACCATTGTCTTTTTCCACAGGTTTTGGCATTTCCAGCAAACTGTGGGATTATCCTTTTGGTACCTTCCCAGAAAAACTAGTTAAGGCGGCTTAGTGCAAACAAAATAATAGTAATTTGTGCGCAATAACAATTTTATTATTCTCTCTTATAATTATGACAGATCAACAACAGGGCTTCCTGGTAACAAACTCTTGACTTCAAGGGTAGGGCTAAAAGTGCAAAAGAGTTTCTTTGCTTTTTTCACCCCCACACCCTGAGTCAAGAGCTACAACATACTTGTCACATTTTGTTGAAACAATTGTCACGTTATTTCCTGTTCAATGTTGATTCACGTATTACCCATTTGCAAATAAACCTGATTCTTAATAATTATACACAGGGACAAGTAAGATAAGTTAGTTGAGAAGTGTGACGTGAAAATTCTTCAGTTTCAGTCGATCGTTTCTAGCCTGTGCGACAAGCATCAAAAGGGGTAGGGGATAAGGGAGGAGGATTCAGGACAGAGGTATTTCTTTTTTTCTCCCCCTCCCCTTTTTGCACTTGCCATGCAGACTAAGTGTTTCAATGAAATTTGATGAGAATTTTAGCTGTATGGTAAAATAATAGCAAGGGTGTAGTTGTTGATTATGTAATAATAGTAATAAATGACTATGCACTGCATTCAGACTTGCCACTTAAGTCTCAACTATTTGTATGCAGAATGCAGGGCTGCAGGTATTTTTTTTCTTTTCGTAGAAAGGATTTATTTCTGACCAGGTCACTATTTTAATGGATCCAAACCATAAAAAGTTGTCTGGCACACATCACATTGACATACTGAGTACTTGCATCTGTTCATTATTTATAAAATGTCCAACTTCAAGTGGGATTTCATTGGAGGCAGGCTAATTTTAATTGGAAGTTGTCTGATTATCTAGTATTATTTGCAGCTCTTATTAAATGAGTCTAAAACAGACAAAACATTAGTTGATTCCAAAATTCAAGTCTAGTATAGACATGTATAGAAGTAAGGTCGTTTCAAATCTGCACCATCATATAATTAATAAAACAGCAGCACAAAATTGTGTCTGTTTCACTGGCCTGGCCAAAAATTTATACTGCTGTAATGCTCTTGTAACATAGTGTTATTTATTAGGTTAAATTAAATTATTCATAAAATGGTTTTCAGCCTGGCCTGCAGTATTCACTGTAATTAATAATTAAATTAAAAATGTACTCGATGCACAATATCATTAATATTTTTCACTCAGTATTGGGATTCAGTTGACTCTGGTAACTTGGATCTTTGGTAGCCTAAATTATTTACTACTGCATGAGTTGAATAAAAATCAATTTCCTATAGACTTGCTCTATAAATTTACTGAAATAAATTTTGATATAGTTTCCTGTACTGGTGTTTATTACGCAAGTCATGCAAAGTCACTCTGTTGAGCCCCTAATGTTACTTAATTCAAGGTTCTTTTCATTATTTTATCATGATTGTATTTTTGGAGTTATAATGGGTTTTAATACAAAGTAATTTTGTAAGCCAAAAATAATAGTTTTAATATTAATTAATGCACATAACTGGGGATAAAGAATTAGCAGTAATTCTACAAGACAATACAGTAATTTAGTGATAATGTTTAAAGGCCTTCCTGAGAAATAATAGAATGCTCTTTTATGTGCCGTGTTAGCCTTGCATTCAGAAGAATCTTGGCACAAGTTGCACTATTGCTATAAGCATCAAGTTTTCAAGACATTTGCATGGTGCACACTTTTGTATACACATGAAAAAGTGCAAATGTTAGTGGTTGAGTTCTCTGTGTATTTCCTTTAAAGTTCTACTTTCCATTGCAGCTCAGCTTAAGGGTTCCTTAAGTTACTGAGCAAACTGAATTTAAGCAAAAACTGCCCAGATGGACTCTGAATTTTAGCTTACTAGCTAGCATTCTAACAAATGTCATTGTAATAATAGCACCCAAATGAGGCTTATAAGCATGTAGATCAGAGTGTTATGATATTTTTCAGAAAGGCCTGTTACTAGTAAAACTAAGTGAAATTGATAGTGCTGGATGTACACATCAATCAATTTATTCCACATTTGCTCCACTAGTTACCCTGCTGCATTGCAGATGTAATTTAACCTCGGTTAGTAACGTCTGCAATGCAGCACCGATATCCTTGTTCCGGGCTCCCAATGGACTCAACAAATTACTGGAAATGCATTTCAAATTTCCCTTCAACCTGATTGGTAAATTGATAATGACTTTTCTAAAAGCCAGTCATAGCACATGCTCAAATCCTTGTAAACAAGTGGGGGCCCAGAACAAAGATTCCAGTGCTGTTTTGTAGACAGACTTAACCAACAGTCAAGTTATGTTCTGTCTTTGGTACAGGTTATCCACTATTAACTCAATACAATTGAAAAAGTTATTGTTAACTACTTAATTTATAATTGTGTTCTGCTTTCACATCTTATGAAGAGTCAAGCAGATCAAGAAGTGATTTCTCAGCTGATGTGGATTACATTCTCCTTGATAAGGTTACCTTGCAAGCGGTGGTTTCGTAGCTTAGCGTCCAGCCTGGAGAAAACACTGCTTGCGGGGTTTGATAAGTTCGGTTTTGCTAATTAAAACAGCTGAGCCAAAAACAAAAAAACTGATAAAACAGTCAACACTTAATGATGCCAACACTGGTCTCCCTGCAAAATGACATCAGAGGAATGATTGCAGAAATTCCATACTGATGACGTGTCACTAGCCAGATCTGGGAAGTGCTTCTAATTAGCTGCTGCAGCATATTTCCCTCAGGCACCACCAATTAGAAGCACTATCAAGATCTGGGTCGTGACACACCATCAGTATGGAATTTCTTTGTCCATGTCTTTGCAGGTGAATGTGATGCCTTAGAGTAATATAAAAAAGTATTTATTGAATTGACTCAAATTCTCCAAATTTGTTCTGGTCAGTGCTAGCTGCAAAACTTAGCCTGTCAGAAATGAAGCAAAATTTTGAGGGGATCTGAATGATTGAATGATGAATTATAACAGTCAAACGGACTGCGTTAATTATCCAAATCAATGTTCTACTGTCAAATTGAATGTTGCAACATTCAATAGTGAACAAATTTATGCCCAGTTCAGTGCTGGTGGGGTTTGTTACAATGTGCTGTTTCAGAAAATATCCATACTTCCCTTGCTTGCTGAGGGATTTTAGTTTGAACCCAGCTCCTGCCCCTTTGAAGATTCCACTTCATCTTCACACTTTCCTTTAGATATTATTATTATATTGTCTGTAAGACACCCCTCCCCCCTTGGAATTTCTAGTGACCTTCTTAGGGCTGGTAGGGATTTTTTAATAATTGAAGCCACTAAATTTGTGCTGCTGCTGTCAACTCTCCTGCCTTGCTATCTCTGTGAATTACTTATGTCCGACTGCCGACGAGGCAGTTCTTTTGTAAGGAGATATTAGATGGTGATCTCCACTGGGGCCTAAGGGGTAATATTCAGCAACCCTATCATGCTATAATTGAGTTGTCATTAAACCTGTACTGGATAAGGACACCAAATAAAAATTATGCACAGTTTAATCACTGCAATAAAAAAGTATTTATTTACCAGCTTCATTGTTTTTTTGATATATCATATAACTAATAATTCCTATTTTTGTTTGGTTTTTATCTCTATACTACTACATGAGAAATTTCTGCAATTTGATTGGCTTAGAGCAGTGGTATTTCAGCTTAATTTGAAACACCTAATTGTGAAAATTACAAAACCTTCCCGGGTAGTAGTATAAACAAATAATAGCATGATTTGTACGATTTGTATTTGTATGTTTGGCATAAATACCACTCGTGATATTTTAAAATTGTCTCAAATTTAACTCGCCCAACAGCTTGAGAAATTACGTATAACAATTTCGAAATATCACTCGTGGTATTTATGCCAAATATCACTATAAATCATCCTATTACCTATACTAATGCATTGCAAAATATTACTATACAGCCAAATTGATCCAAAGGCTACAAAAATGCAGTTTCTTCTAATAATAGTCATTTCTCAGAGTGATCAAATCATCCTTAGATAAACTAAATCTTGGAACGTTTTTAATGGAATAAGGCCCAAACACATGCATCGCCCGAGGGTTGGGGGGCGGGGACTCAAAATCAAACCTTGAAAGGTTGTCTTTGTGTGTTTGCTTTCTGTCGCCAGTTTATTACCTTGGTTGTATTTTAGCGTGGGCATGGCTCAAATTCATACAGTTCTAGTGACAGTTTGCTTTGAAGCTGGATAGCTCTCTATCCTCAGGGTAAATCACTGTCTACTGGATAACACATTGTTAGTTTTGCTCTAACAATTATCCACTGGAAAGTGATTTATCCGGTGGATAGTGCTAGCCATCTTTTGAACAACCAGGACCAGAATCCTGGAAAGGTACCAACATTCTAAAACAACAAACTCACGGCTACTGACAAAGTAATAACAACCTATAAACGGTACTACAGAAACTCTAACGACAGTAATTTTAGGTTTTAGAGCCATTAAGCGCCCACATCATCAATTTTTTTTATCAGGGAGCCCTCCACCCAAATCTTTGCTTGTACCAGAAGCCAAATAAGTAAACCTATTAATATTGAATTCAAACAAAGATATTTAAAGAGCATTATATACTCAAAATTATATATAACATAAAAAAATAACTAGACTTAGTAGTGGCATTGGCTAAACTTGTAAAAGTAAAATGATGATGCATCATTTAAATAGTGTTAATATATTCATTGACTGGACTTCTCTGACATTACCATGCACTTAGGTCAATCAAGTACAGCTCTCACTTCATAAGAAATATCTATCCTAAAATAGCTTTAAAGGGGCTATGTCACGGGGATACAGTAAAAAACCACGAGTAAGAACCTACATTTTCCAGGCTTAGCCTAAATAGGTTCTTACATAAATGGCTGTTAACATAAATTTAGGCTATCTAGGTTCTTAATAGGTTCTTAATTTCTTGCAAAAAATTATGTCATTGCTAAGAAGATTTTAGTGATCAGCACCCCTAAATTTGCATACCTAATTATTGCTTATATTTTAATATGACAACCATAATAGAGATCTATTCTCACATGAATTTAAATTTCTTGAGTCAAAACAACTTTATATACATGATTGTGCTGTAAAACACAATATTATAAACATTTTCTCAATGACCTCAATCAAACAACATTTATATATGTACTAACTTAACTTTTGCAATTGCAATTAGTAAATATTTTTAAATGATTTTTGAAAATTAGAACCTTTCTCCAAATTTTTAGGCTAAAGACGTTCTTATATAGAGGGGGTCTAAATTGCAAATTTTAGCCCAACAGGATCTTAAATCTTAGGTTTTACTCGTGGGTTTTTACTGCATAAATTTCCGATTTTTTTTAGGTCAATTCTTTGCTATAAGTCATTAAGTTTAGTGCCTTTACCAAAACACAAAATGCTCCTGAAAAGTTATGAAGATACCAAACAAAATAACTTCATCAGGAAATAATAGCAGTAGCATTGAAAACTTGTTTAGAAAAAAAGTTTCAATCCATTTCCACCTTGCCATCTGTTGCAACAGATAACAGGAAACAGTTTCAATGCTTAAATATAGTCTTAAACAACAAAACTGGACCATTATTTTTGAAATTCAATTGATGAGAAGACATGTTATAATCTTGCTTTTTAAAAACATAGCAAATAGCGTGACAGCCCCTTTAACCCTTTGAGTCCCAATATCCACATACAAATTCTCCAAACTGGTCTCCATACATTTCCTTGAAGAATTATTTGAGAGAATTTGGTAAAAGATCAAAATAATATTTTTCACTTTGTGATCATTTTGTTAATTCTCATAGACTTTGCTCATGATAGTCTATGGATATCGTTAGGAGAAAATTGATCTTGAGCACTATTGGGAGACCAACTGTTAGTTTTTCCATGACATCAAATAAAGAAATTAGAGAGAGAGATATGGTAATGTGTGAAGCTTGTACACTTTGGTTACCTTTGGTGCAGTGTGATTACTCATGAATTCATAGAATTCATTGTTTTTCAGGGAGAGGGGGTGCACTGGGCTCTGGTCTATCACTATATGGGGGTGGGGCATAATTTGGATACCCACCAGGAGGGGGTGCAGCAGTAGCATGCCCGGGGGGAGCATAATAACCTGCTGCTTGCCCTGCCACAGGATACTGTGCCCCAGGGGGAGGAGGTCCATATCCTCCTGGTATTCCTTGGGGAGGTACTGAGGGGTAGCCTGCATAAGGCTGACTTTGCATGATGCGTCTTTGAAAGAAAAACAACAGTTTAAAGGTTACATTGCCCAGTCCTATTTTTGTGATTTCTGGAGTCTCTAACATGCATGCCAGCTCCCAGCCTCTGTTTCCCATCTCTGTTATCATTGGTGTCCAGTCACCTTTGGCCTTTGTCTCAAAAAATCCAATCTGAAAGATATTACCAAATCATAAAAATCAATTTATGGCCCATCTGTCTGCAGGGGAATAGGCTTTCAAGACACTGTCAATGGCTACAGATTGAAGTTATTAGCAAAACTGAAAAAAATTCAGAGATTGTAATAGCCTGTGCCAGGCTCTCAGATAGTACAGTGGGAATGTATTAAAACGAGCAAAGCGAAAATAAGACTCGCACGACTTGGGAAAGGGGGCGGTGGCGGCGGGAAAAATGGGAGAGAGAGCCTGTTAGCATTTCTTTAACGACCCTCTTCCGCCCATTTTTGTCACGTCTGGATTCGGCTGTCAAAACTGTTAAGACTTCAGTTAGCTACAATCATTCTCAAGTTTCTCGCGTGAGCATTGCACGCGACACGAATTCCTTGTGCGGTGTGGAAATTTATGTCTTCGAATTCGTTATCCTGTGAGAACATCCGTTTTTTTGGCCCTAGTTTATAGCAATAAAAGGGGGCGGTAAGTTTTTTCCTCTGAAGGGTACTGAGGTTATGCTCTGGAAGGTTCTACATTGTCACTGAGCAAATGTGACTTTAGCCGCTTGTTTCACACTGAGAGGTCATGGCACAAAAATCGATTTACTACGGCGTTGGTTTCTGGTCGGCAGGATTTGTCCTCTGATGAGAGAGCATTTTCTTTGACCTCTAATTAGAAGCGTAAAGCTTTTTATTGCGGCTGAATAAGGATTTAAATTTTCTCCAAAGTGCCTTCTGGATCTGACTAACTAAGTGATTTTCTTTAGTCCGTGAATTGATGTAATATTTTTCTGCAATGTTGTATCACGCTGGGCCAAGCTCGTTAGTTTTCTTTGCAGAATGTTAAATTATCATGGATAGTGATGTACAGATCCAGAATTATAAGAATGAAGTGCAGCTTAAACTTAAGCTACATCAACTAAGGAGAATTGCATTGTGACTTAGTAAACTCCAGCTTGATAGTGTTTCTCTGAAAATAGTGTGAGTCTTTTGACTGGAGCGCGTAGTTTCTCCCTTGGTAATAGCGGAATATTAAACTTAACAGTCTTTGGACTGTTTTGTCATTGCCACTTTGTGATCAACCAGGACTCCGGATTACCGAAAACAATTTCGCATTTTCCTTCTCTCGCTTTCTTCGCGTCCTCCTTTCCCTCTTCACCGATGCCAAATAGTTGCGGCCGGACATCCAAGCTTTTTCAGTTGTTCCACTTGGTCTCGCATTATAGATATCAGCGGCGAAACGACTATTGTCGCAGAGTTTTCTAGGATTAGAGCAGCTTTAGCCAAGCGTGGGAATAGCTGAAAGATTAAACTTTTGCCGAAACCGGTGGGCATAATACCCAAAACATCTTTACCGCGAGCCAAGTCGCAGACACTCGTCTAAAGCACAAGACAACGCCGATTCATGAAGATCACACGCGCGATTCGCGTTAGCCATCTTGGTGATGACAAACTAATGACCACGCTACTAGGTGATGATGTTAACTGTCACAATTAACCAATCAGAGGGTATATCGGGAGCTGATATACCGGAACAGGCCGTTAAAAAAATGCGTACAGGCTCCGCCGCCCTGTCTCTCCCCAGCCCTCTCGCGTTTTTCTCATTTCTTATTACTGAACGACTTTCCATCACCATCTCGGAGCCTGGAACAGGCTAAGATTGTAAGTGAATTTAGACCATTGACCCCACCCATGGCCGTAAATATGGGTAGATTACCTCTTACCGTGGAGAAACAGCTAGGCTTCCAGATAGAATGGTGATGCCATTATCACATCTGGGAAATCACAGATGCCCTTTATATAACTATGTGACACCTACCTGTACCCATAAGAAGAGGCAATGTATCTTAAGGTCCCTAGTAATATGCCTAGCGCCTTTCTTGAAAATTAATAATACTTGCCTTCACAGTATGCTGATATTCAATGATGGTGCCTTCATAAACTGGTGTCAGGTCCTGCATTCTTGAACATTCCTTCTCAAAAAACCACACTGAATTGTAATCACCAGACAAGGAAAATTCTATGAAGAAAATGAATTCATGATAGTCAGTTTTTTCTTTCTTAAGAGGAGCTGCCACTTAGAAGATTCCTACCTTAAACAATTAATTACGATCACAATACTTTTTACGTTTAAGTATGATTGAGTCTTTGACAAGGCAATGACAGTGAAATTTGTCACCAGGAATTTTTTCTCAGACATTCCATTCAATTAGGCTTTCTGATTGATAGATAAGATTGCTTTGGGGGAGGGAGATAGAAATTTCCATCTATTTTGTGTTAGACTGCAATTTTGGACAGACCAAAATGGCCAACATTTGAAAAGGAAAGTATGAACCCAAATAATAATATTATTTTCATAGGGGAGGTGGGTATGGTTCAAAGTAATAACCCCCAGCCCCCTCCAGTGGGGAGAGAATGAATATATTCTGAGGCAACAAAAATACTAATTATTATTATCTAAGGACAGTGATCAATGCCTTTCTTTCTATAGTGTTTTTATTTTAATAAAATAATAATATTAATGCAATGCTGGAAACTAAAAGAAAGTCAAAAAGGGAGAGCATTCACCTCCATGACTCCTTTTTCCTTGATCCCAAAAGATATCTGTCAATTTCCACCCCTGCTGCAGATGTTGTGCGAAGTGTCCCATCCAATCACAGGTGACCTTGACAAGTTTTCCTGGTCCAAGGTACATGACTTGAACAGGAACATTCACAAGCTGGTACGTGTACAGAGTGGGGTTTGGATGACACGGCATGTTAAAGAACACATCACAGCCATACACTGAAAATTATGAACAAGACATTGCCATCCCCTTCAATTCATACTTCTGATCATTGCTGAGAGTACAGTCCAACCCTGTTTATATGGATACTGAGGGGATTATAGAAAGCGTCCATATTAAGCAGGTTGAATTTAGAAAAAAAAGGAAGGGGCTTTCTTTCCCCAGGGACAAAGCGAACTATCTGTAATAATGAGGTGTCCGTATTAAGCAGGTGTCCCTAAAGCAGGGTTTAATTTGGCTGTACTCAATTTAACACAAACCTCTAAAATTTCCATTAAGTTACTCTGACAAATATCAATAATAAATCGGTTGGAATCATACATCCCATGGGAGAAGTCCTAAGTGACAACAAAAAATTTATGTTTGAAGCAATTTCTAAGAGGAATGGGATTGACTTTCACTAACTATTAAATGGACACTAGCTATTTGTAAAAATCCCAGGATGTCTGATTAACTCAGGTTTGACTATTAATGGATTATAAATAATACAAATAATAGAAAAAAGCAACAGAAAAAGACATAGGCTACATGCAGATCTTATAAACACAGCATTCAGGAAAATGAAACATTTTTTTATTTGTCACATAAATACCTGTAATTTTACAAGTGAAAAGAACCTCAAACTACATCAGGCGTAACTATATAATTATAATTTCTCAAAATGTTCTTCTTCTATGTGAAGTCTTCACATAGATTTTTAAAATTTTATGGTTCAAAAAAGACTATGGACGTATTACTTATAATGAATTGTTCTAATTTGCATTACCACTGTTTATACCTTCACTTTTGCCACCGATTGATGCTAGCATTCCAGCACTTTGTTTCTGTCCAGATAGCTCCACACACACTAAACGGCCACCTTGCTTGCAATATTGAGCAATCTATAATAAATAAGTCAGCAAAATAATTAGCTTAATAAAATAGAATGAGAGAGTTAGAAAAACTTTCCTATTTTAAAATATTATTTTCATATTATTATTACCAAGTTGAAAATAAAATTACCTCTAACTTACAATAGTTACAAATCAAAAATACATTAAAAAAATCACACTGTCTTTGTGTTTCTTTAACTTCGTATTATGCCTTCAGTTTAGTCGCAACATATCTGGTCATTCCATTTGTCCTGTTGGGGACAAAATGAAACGAAATAGTCGCCAAAGAATTTGCACTATAAATCTTAAGTTGCCTGTAGCTAAAGGAATTCTTAGCAGGAAAAAAAATTAAATAAAAATAATCTTTTATTGATAACAAAGCTCACTTTAAAATCCTATTTACAATTAATTTCACTTAAAAAAACTATTCAGTCCAAGCACTAATTATAATTCCTTTTGATTTAAAAACACTTAATTTCAATTTTAAAAAATTCATTTCAATTTTAAAAAAATTTGCTAAAGAAGAAGAAAGAAAGAATTTTCACTAAATCTTAAGTTGCCTGTGGCAAAATGAATTCTTAGCAAGAAAATAAATAAATAAATTTTATAATAATAGTAATAATAATAATAATAGATGGATATAATAGATACTTTATTCAGCACAGCATTCATAAAGTTTACACATTTTCAATGAACTAATGAATACACTTTTTAGATTGTTTAAAGAGTGAGTGATTGTAATACAGTAAACACCTGCTTATAAGAACCTACTTTTTATGAAATCTGGCAAAATAAGTTCTTGTATTTTGGGGTACTTATTGAGAATGAGGCTGATTGAACACTACTCACCACCGAAATAATCCCTGACGGATTTGACACTTCATTGCTTCGAGTTGACAGATTCAAAAGTCCTGCTCGCTCTACAGTTTGGATGCTTGACTTCACCACTAACAACTGCCAAGAGTGGTAAACAGGGGCTCTGAACAAGGGGAATTTAAAAAACAAATTATTGGCAACTAGATCAGAGAACTTGGCATAAATTGTACGTCCTGGAAAAACAGTAATTACATGATGACAATCAGCGTACAAAGAAAGTGCTGTCCGATAGTCCGGGGCTAGTGGATTTTGTTATCAGGCTGGTGAATTCTGTTTTTAACTTGCCCGATGGGCAAGTGATGTTTTTTGAGCAGTTTGAAAAAAGGAAGAACTGTGAAATCAATTCTGCTTGTCAAAAAGCTTTTGGGGCTAGTTTAAATGATGTCTGCACTAGTAAATGCTAGCTTTAGCTTACCCGAATGGCAAGCTATAAAAATGATTTTCTTTGCACCCTGACAACACAAATTTAATTATGTAGTTCTAACTTTTAAATTTGTGGACTGAAAATCCAGCTCATTCAAATAAATGTTACAAGTCCTTGGCAATCCTTTGACTTGATATTAAAGTAGAACCTCCAAGTGTGACCTCCTCTCGTATATGACCACAACCACCTTTTGGAAGATGGTTTTAGAATTTTCTATTGTTTTAATCCTCCTGTAAGTCACCAATAAGGGCATGTTTTGATCTCCCTACATGTATTTTTGCTGAATGTACTTACACTACTCAGAGCATGAGAAGAACTTTTAGTTACAAGCAACATTAACTACACATATCATAACTTGTATTGAATTCTCTTCCAAAATGCATACCATAAAAATTCTGAAAATTAGCCCAGGGGCTTGTATCTTTCAAAGGCCCTTTCTGAGGGGCTTATTTTTGGAGGGGTGATTTAACAGAGGGTTTTTTGTGTTACTGGATTGGGGGGCCTATATTTGGAGGGCTTATACATGGAGGGGCTTATTTTTGGAATTTTACAGTATGTGTTCTTCCTATTGCTCCATTCATGCATAAAGGGACCACCTTCCACAAGCGGCCAATAAATCTTTGCATTTTGGGTGGTCCCTAATGGGAGCTTCTTTCGCATTTCAGATGCCATCATTTTTAATTTTGATGCCATACCCGTGGGGCCTGGAAAAACTTCCTTGGTATGGCGTCTCACTTGCATTCCATCCAGTCTTCCCAACACCTGGAACTGCCTTGAATGTTTCCAGAACAAAGCCTTGCAGATATGGTTCACTGAGCTTGCCATACTTGCTTGTTACATCTGAAGAGACTTTTGTTTGTCCAGATACTAAGCCAAAAGTAGCTATAACATCCAGAAAAATAGGATTTGATTCATAATTGACTCGAACAAGTACGATAGAGACCGAGTCTCTGTTATAATGTAATTTCACAAGAAAATGCAGACGATAAATTACTGATAAGAAATATGGGAAAATAAATTAGACAGTGAGTGGCAAGTAAACATAGCTTTGTACTGTAAGACGTTTGGGTACTGGCAAAACAGGTAGACTGTGAATTCATTGCCATGTATGACATGTTGATTTTGTTGTCAGGTACATTGCAAAAATGTGTCATTTTGGGTTGACAGAGAATGCTTTTGTTTGACTTGGCCAGCAAATAAAATGCGACAGTAATGACAGTGACCATGTGAGTTTACCTTAGTTGTTGGTTTGACAAACAAAACCATGCGACCTAGGTTGTTAACATTTGGCAAAAACTGTCTTACAGATCTTTCAATTCACAGTCTACCTGTGTTGGTAGTATTTTTTTATTGTCTACCGCTAACACCCCTTAAAATCCTTAGCCCATACCAGACCACATTCAAATTGAATAAAATAAGTATTCTAGGCTGGACACCAAAACTCCTTACCCTACCTTGGATTAGCTATAACCAATATAAATTCTAGGGTAATAATAATTAACAATTAATGAATGAGGCTGTGTATCTTATGAAGAGTTATGGAGATTGAGGAGGGTGTTATGGCCGAGGTGGATAACACTCTCTGAGATCTCCATAATTCTTCATATGATACGAAAGCCGAATTCAATAATTGTTTTATTATTCATTCAGAATAATTCCTAGTTTAAAAACAAAGCTAAAACATGCTTACCTCCATTGATGTTAAGTTCACCTTCGATATTGAACGTTTAGGGTTGTTCAGCTCTGCAAATATTCTCCAAATAGCAGATGTCGCCCTCCGAGTTGTGTTCTTGCTGTTCTTGCCATGTTTTTAGCAATAATTTCGCCTAGTTCTTCCTCTTGAAAGAGTGAAATGTCTGCCATTTTTTGTTTTCACAACCTAAACAACTCAACCTCGTCCCCAGGTCTTCTCGGTTAACGATGCATTAACCTGCAAGAACGCTGCATTTTTGACGTCATTTCCTCGTTAAACACAAAATTCTTCCAGATTAGTAACTGGTTATGGTGAATTATGTGTGTGCTTTTAGCCAATCAGAGTCGGGGAAATATTTTGAATGAATAAATAATAAAAAATACATGTAGCCCAATCACTGAACATAATCCTGATGAAGAGAGACCCACAATGTAAATTAATAACAAACAAATTATAATGACAATACTTTATTCAAGAGAAAAAAAGAAATACATCTTGATTGTGATTTTGTGAGGTTAACCCCTATATATTTAAATGGCATCCAAAAAGTGGAAGAGAAAAAACATTTCACCTAGTAAACAGTTACATACATACATACATCCTTTATTATCTTTCCTTAAACAAGGCTTTTCAAAGATAATTACAAAAAGTATACTAATACAAACAAAATGGAGTACAGTAAATATATAAAAAGTGGATTGGTAAAATTATCTAAGAGCTAAAAATTAATTGCTATTTACGATCATACATAAAATACAAGAAACATCATTTATAAAGTTCTATGCAGAGCAAAGTAGCTTACTTTAGAGCTTTCGTTTGACACTTAAAAACATCTCTACTTAGTTTTAATTCATTGTCCAAAGAGTTCCATATCTTCACTCTTCATAATGTATCTATCAATGAAGAGGTTTTTCTTTGTTGCATAAAAACCAACCATTTAGTACTTACTTTGTCCAACAGTAGTGACATCAACAGTGACAAAGTGAAAGGCAAACCTCAGTCCAGGATAGTAGTAGGGATCCACAGGGAGAGGGGTATGTTTGCCCTGCTTAGACTGTTGATCAGTTGATTGAGACTGACTTGTGTCTGTACCAGCAATAAAGTTTCCAACCTTTTTCCTGTCAAGAAAGAAATGGTACAATGTCAACTGAGTCCCTGTTATATCAAAAACAAGTTGTCCTGGGAAGGAGTGTCAGCCTCCCAGCCGAGTCAACTTTTGCAAGCTTTTATATGAGAATAAAGTTGACCCCTTTGCTTGTGCAAACAGTGCTCATGCATGCTCTGACTGTCTAAGACAATACTCGCATGTGCTCTGATTGTTTCACCTTGACCGAGTTGACCTGACTGGGTGAGCCAAAACGTTTATATGGAGAAAAGTTGACTCAGCTAGAAGGGTGACCCTACCAGATCAATTAGGTTTCTGGGAAACTGCCCACCTACCCCTCCCCTAACCCATCATTTTTCCCAAGGTGAGAATTAAGTGTTAATGTTAGCTCAGGGTAGGGGTAGGTGGGTAGTTTCCCAGACACCTAAATTGATCCACCCTAGTACCATCACAAAAGGGTGACATGCCTAGCCAGGTCACCCCTCTGGCCAAGCCAACTTTTTGTTTGTCATGCAAACATGTCGCCACTTTTTATAAGGCACGTCTGTCTCACCTAGATTAGCAATTGCTACCTGCCGGTCAGTGTAATTACTTAAGGTAAGGCGTTTCGGTACAGTTTTTTGGAGACCATTCCGATATTTTTCATTCGCCTTAAAAGTGATTTTATCCTTGACTGATCGCTATAAAATTTTCAGCAGTGATTGACTATGAACTGAAGTTTGTCAAAATGCAGTTTTTAGTAAAATTGTATATCACTATGACAACAAAAAACAAAAAGCTTTAAAATTGATAAAATCTGAATTTTGTGTGATTTACACCTGTTACTGAAAGCCGACACAAAAGTGTAGTGGGAATCAGATTGTCCAAAAAACGCTGGCTTTAAATGTGCTGCACCTGTGGAATAACAATAAGCTGGGGCCTGTTCAATGATTATTATTGAACAGGCCCCAGCCGTTCAAAAGGTGGATAGCTCTATCCACACGATAAATCGATATCCAGATATCCAGCGGATAAGTGGTTACAGAAACCAATTGCGTTATCCACTGGACAAAGATTTATCCAGTGGATAGAGTTATCCAGCTTTTGAACAACTGGGGCCTGCAGATTAGGATTGCAGGCTACTCTGGTCATGGTCGCCTGCAATCACAGGCTAAGTTTACATCTGTAAGCGTTATATAACATAAACAAAATGCTGTATATTACAGCCTACAACCACAAGAAAAGCTCCACGTACAGGCGTTTGAGCTTCGGTGTAAACTTGACTTCAAAAAGCTTATGATCCGGCTTATGATATGCAGATGAAGCTGATGGTTTCATCAACGACGGGCTATATTTTTACGCTAGATCTACTGCTTCTGTATATGCACGTATTAACGTTAGTTCTTCGAAGACTTAAGTTTAATTATAACCAACAGATCGTTGCATGATTGCAAAGTACATCATACATGGCTTTAAATTGTGGTGTATTGAAATCAAGAAGATTGAAGCATACACTGTAATAAATCATCACCTCTTAACACGAAAGTATATCATTCACCCTAAATTTTAATACCTTAAAGAGTCCATGTTATCTCATGATTCAGGATACAGATTCTTGGAAGCCACTCGTTGTTATTTTTCCCTGTAAAATATTTCTATTTTTTGCTTCAGACAGCCAAAGTTCGTAATGGTGAAAGGCTTGGGACCTACAACTCCCTCCAGTCCCTCTCGGTTGTTCTTTCCGCAAAAACTTTTTCCGGGCGGGGGGGGGACGATTCGCAACGACGATTTTCAGCACAACCCAGCGTTGCAATGTTGGAACAATGTTGTGACCATACGAAACAACGTCGCAACAATGTTGCAACGCTGTGTTGCGCTTCAAATCGTCATCGTGTAACACCATAGCCTGCGTAGCTGGCGGTATTGTGTAGTAGTCGAGTGAGATTTGGCGACAGAGCCGTTGTCATGTAGTCGAGTGAAATTTGACGGCGGAGCCGTCACGAGCGGCGAAGCTGCCGCCTCGTTCCTACTCCCTTTTTTCGGAACATGGCTCCGCCGCCAAAACTTTAATCTGGCACCCACACAATACCGCCAGCTACGCAGGCTAGTAACACCACCTTAAGAAAATTTGTAATTTTGTTTTTTTGGTTATCACGTGACCGTACGCCCGTACGACCGTCTGTCTGCATCACAGGCATACCAATGTAAAATAACTCAATAAACAGATATGATATCACAGGCAACTCGAGGTGTTTTTGGCGGGATATCGCATGGCCACTCAGACTTTCACACAACGTTGCAATGTTGGAACAATGTTGTAACTATTCGAAACAATGTCGCAACAATGTTGCATTAATGTTTGCAACGCTGTGTTGCACTAGAAATCGTCGTTGCGGATCTTCTCGTGTAACATCACCTTTGGCCATGCAAAACAGCATTGTAGTCGAGCATAACAACGGCAAAGAAAAGTACAAAAACGTGTGCTGCACGTGCCAATTTGTTTTTTTGTGCTTAGAATTAGATCTATTGATTTTGTCGCCGTTCTCATTGCTGGCGCCGTTTAGCATAACCCGATGTTTTTTGTTTATAAGTATTTAGTTAACGAGAGCTTCGCTTTTAGCCTTGCTAAATCTAAATATAGATTCTATATATAGATTCGAGCAAACTTGTGTTTACTTGAATGAAGAAGAATCAAATTAAAACGGTGATTTTCACGTAAACGAACGCTCGTAATTCACAATTATGTAGCTTCTATAGGCTTGATTTTATGAGTATGAAGGCAACGTAACTCCAAAGTTGCAGTTAATATTGAGTTGGTTGATTCAGCACACAAAGTCATGCTTTAGGAATTAAATCGACTGACTAGCATCCGAGCGCGATCGCACATAGAGTAAATGAATTAACTGTGGTAAGACGTGTTTAAAGACGTAGGCGAACTGACATAAAAGACGTAGGCGAATCGACTCTAGTTGACTTTAGTCTAAATTTATCGCGCTTATCACATCTCGTTTAACTCGTCAAATGCTGGCAAAGTCTTTTTGGAGTTGAATTCTAAAGGACAGTATATGAAAAGATATATCTTGTGTTCAACCGTGAAAGTAGGCATTTTCACGTCGTAGTCGTGCAGTGCCGGAAAAGAAATGTACAAAAAAGCGTGATTCATGTGCAGAGTTGTTGTTTTGCTAATTAAACCTATTGTTTTTTTGCCGTTCTCGATGACGTCGACGTCGTCGTTGAAAACTCCCTGTTACGCACGCGGAAGTACAACTTCTGTTTCGGAATACGATGAATATCTTGATTTGAGAGGTTATCGTGTGTTAATTCGTTTTGGGTTATCAAAGGAAGAAAGCAAGTGACGTATCAGTTACTTGATTCCGTAGAGGAAGATAAAGTTTGTCACGGAATCAAAATAAGAATGATTTTGAACATTGCTCTGTTTGAGAGCCTTGCAGAGCGTCCGGCCTGGAGAAATTTGCAAAATTTTACTTTTGCGCTCGCTCTTCGGCCGTCGTGCGTGGCTCTGAGGAAAGAAAGGACGACTGCTTGCGGTCTACCACTCTCCTCTTTACGAATCTTCAGTCTGGAGATCAGTGTCAAAAGCAGCCATACATAATTTGGCTCCGTCATGTCAAGTAATAATCACCTTGTTCGAAAAAAAAATAACGCGAATTATTGCCAGGATCAATTTGCCGACGAGGCACTGGGAAATAACAAAAATCCATACCCCTTTATAGCCTGCGAGGCTAGCAGCGAGCGCTTGTACTTTCGCGTGCGGCCCTCAGGTGATGCTTGCAGGCTAACCCCTCATATGATCTCTTGGAAACATGAAAAACATCGACCATGTTAACATTAGGCAATGCAGGTGGAATTAAAACAGTTCCCTTCACGGCATTTTGACAGGCTAGCAGCGGCTTATTTGGAAAGTAAAACATATCTGTATCTACAGGAAATGAGGGCCAATTTATCATCATGCCCGCAATATATTTTCTGGAGGTGATAAGCTCTAAGGGTGACTGACGTCTGTGGGTGGTATCATATTGTTTTGAACACCCAAACAAGCAGTCAGACATTCGATATTGATAGAAAATTATTTAACTACCGCCAACTGGGAAAAGAGGTGGGGGAGGGGGTACTCCATATATTTAACTATACGGGGTAAATTTATTTCTGGGCTTCTCGTGTATAAAAGGGTTGGGATTTCACGAGTTGAAGTATAAGAAAAGGTAGGGAAATCCGTTATTTCGGCCCATAAAATGGCCCAAAAGTGCTCACACATGCAGTTTATTGCTGTGGAAATGGCAAGGAAACATTCTGGTTTTGTGATTTAACGAATATTTAAAAAATCGTGCATTATGAAAACTATCAACTGAGGACAGAGAGATCTATAATTATGATTCTCAGAGTTCCTCTTAGCCTCTTTAGTTATTTTTCCTTATACCTGGTATCCATGCAAGAAGAACTTGTTTGCAAAAATTTCACCAGCTTTTGCCGGGGAACGAGAAACCAAAAAGGTTAACAAACACGCGCCTAATAGCAGTAATTTTTTTCTTTGAGTACCTTTTCAGATTGTAGATTTTAACATTGTGCTCTGCTATTTACTGTAAAAAATGGACACAAAAGGGTAGTTACAAGCGCAAACAATTTGCAACAAATTTCGAGCAGGATCTTGGCACATTTTAGTCTGTACACGAATGTCATGTTTTAAATTACTTTTTATTAAACAAGATCAACAGGATTAACTATTATAACTGTTTTTGTATTTGAAGTAGAAGTAAGGTTAAAATGATGAGAAAATTGCTGCATTTGGGCCACTGTTTGTGTTGCTCCTACCGTTCGGGCCCTGTATTAATCACCTTGTAATACACCGCCCGCTTTAGCAGCAAACCCCTGTTGCCCGTTGTGCTAATGAATAATACAGTAAGCTTCCGCTTATAAGCTGTGGGCTTATCCATCTTCGTAAGGGGTTTTAGAAGGGCTTATAAACGGAGGGGCTTATATCGGAAGGGAGCTTCAGTAACCGGAATAGAAAGAGCGCTTCGAAACAGGCTATAGCAGTGTAGATTTAAGTAGGTTTTGCATTACTTGCTTTAAATTAATCTTCAAAACTTCATAATAAGTAGAATTCATTTCAATACAAGTTAGAGGAAGGCTTGTATCCGGAAGGATAAAAATTGGACTAATTTATAATGTTTTTGTTTACAGCTATCTGGGAGTGGGGACGGGGGTGGTATGGGGGATCGGCTTTCAACCAGCAGTTAAACAATCATAAATGACCAGTTATCTTTTGTACTATCGCAAACGGTTTGAAGAAGCCCTCATGTCTAGCTTCCCCGCTAAGCAGGAACTAAGTACATAGAGTTATCAGCAAAGCACAGATGTTAATGCTCAGTTCGTTCCTGCACAATACGCTTAAGAAGAACCTCATTTGCTTCTTAGATCACTTGTGTAAATTTACTGCGAACGACGTGTTTGTTGTGACAAAGCTACGATGAATCATTTCAAGGCTTTGGTTCTTCTGTTTTGCTTGGCTAATATCTTGTTCTCCTTATCTGAAGCATTTGGAACATACGGAAATCCTGTGAATGGAAAACGTAAGGAACATGTTTAATTTTCTCTTAAGAGTTGAAATGCAAACTGCCTTTAACTAAAACTCTTTTTATCGAAGATTGCTTTCAATTTGTCAGAACTGGCCGGCCAGATCATTGCCCGATCAGTCAGTTAGCAAATGAAATCGACTTTTTCTAAGAGTTTTGCTGAAAAACCATTCTCCTTCGTGCGTACTATTTGACTGATCTGGCTGGATACTTTTGATTAAAAGTAAAATTCTCGTTATGACGGGAATGGTCTAGCCGGTCAGTTGTGACAAATAGAAAGCGTCCTTAGAGTAGTCAGGTTTGGAGTGAATGCGTAATTTTAAGTGCGTAATTTGAAAAAAAAAATGCCTGAAATGGGATTGAATGGGTGACGATGAAACTGAGGCTATGTTCACAGTACACAGATTGGATAGGCTCTGTGCTACACTTTTGTGCAGTGTAAACAGGTAATTGAACTGTGGATGAACAAGTAGGAACGAGGAATGGAATCGGCTAGAAACAGAAGTGAAAATTCAGGTGCGAGGACCTAGGATTTAGTTCACCTTCCCTAGACTACGAGCAGTCTCTCTTTCTTCTTGGTTCGCGCGAGACACGAAAATGACCACGCGCGTGACTGAAGGCTCGAGACGGGAGATGCACGAACTCTTTTTGTGGCTTACTGCCTCAGACAGACGAAAATTAATTCCCGGGCGGAGTATGGGGGTATTCAGTGGACACGATTTTAACTGGCTCAATTTGTTGTTTAAGCGTCACGGAAAATGCCAAGATGTTTATTATCAATTCTGTAATACACATTTCTCTTTTTGTCTATACTCTTCCTGCTAGAGGCGCCAATTTGAAAATCCAAGCTGTTTTAAATAAAAGATGGCAGATTTCTTTCTCATAATAGTTCTTTTTCGCAAAACAAAAGCGTTTTTTCGGACGCCAGAAAAACTAGAAATAAATACACGCGATCTTCGCACAGTCCGATATCATCTGTTTATTTTGTTTACGTTCGAGAAGGGAGAGTAACTACCAAGTTATCGCTCAAAAACTTAGCTCCCATACCAAATGGTGGTTGCAAAGCGAGATGCTTCACTGGACAGCAAAAAAAAGTTTCTTTATTTTACCGCAATTCCTTCTAGTTTTACTCCGAGGCTTACCGCGGATCTGTCGAATGATCTGGCCTTGTTTCAAGCAGCAAGGGCTACCTGATAAGAGTGGACAAACTTGGAAATATCCCATCGAATCTTTGCTATAATAGCTAAATGGAATAAAGATTTGTTTGCAAACAGAAATCTGCCTTTTTCCACCACGGGCGGACCATTTGAATTTTGAGGAATGGGGCGGGGGAGCTTGGGTGATTTGAGAAATGGTCTTACAAAGAGCGTCTGGAGAGGCTTATTGTACTATGCACTGCCAACTTTGCACATAACATTTTGCAACAGATGACTGTTAGGGTTGATTTCTAGTGTTGCGTAATTTTACTTGCTTACCTGCGTAAAATTTTACGTTGGCAAATAAAACAGAGACAACACATGAAAGGTTGCTCGTAAGACCTAAAGGTTGAACCTTGCTCAACTTCTCGTTTAATCTCAGCACTTTTTACCTTACCTCTATTTTATTTACCTGATTAAAATTTACGTGCGTTAACGTGCGAAGCCAAAAGCGCATCAGTGGAAATCAACCTCTACAGTAACAATCTGCTTGTTTACCGGCCGATCTTATTACAGCTATCTTTTTTGTAAGTCAGCGGTTATTTTCTGTCAACACGCCGGGTCAGCGGTAATGAAAAGTGCGTTTACGTGCGTTAACGTGCGTAGCCAAAAACGCGTCAGTGGAAATCAACCTTTACAGTAACAATCTGCTTGTTTACCTGTAGATCTTTTCACAGCCATCTTTTTTGTAAGTCAGCTGTTATTTTCTGTCAACACGCCGGGTCAGCAGTAATGAAAAGTGGACAAAAAAGTAGGTAAAAGTGGTCGTGGCCAGACTAGGGTTTCCACAAGTTGCTTTCTGTTTTTATTGCAGAAACAGCTAGCGACGCCCAAAAAATTAGACTGCCTCAGAGGAATTGCCGAGCAGTCACGCCATCGACACTGTCACTCGTTTCACCAAGAGCAACAACCACAACAACAGCATTGATGAATTCTAAATCAGTCAGTTTTTGTTGAATTTTTTCTGAATTGCGCTTATTTTCTGTTTTAACATTGATTGCTATTGGTTAGTGAGGTCATTTGCAAATTGGTCTGTCTTCACCCCGCCTCTTTGTCCGCCATTTTTCAAATTTGGCGGGAAACGTTTGCACATCACGTATGCTCATGTGAAATATCCTGGGATTTTCCGTGAAGCTTAAACAACATGCTGAACCATAAAATCGTGTCCGCTGAACACCCCAATACTGCGCCCGGGAGTTAGTTTTTCCCATTTACAAAAGTTGTCTTAAAGCGATGTGTGTTTATTTTTGCCAAAAGGAACCATACCTTACTTCACTTGTATTTCGTTTCTTTTCCCTCTGATATTATCCGACTTGGGGGATGTTCATCTATACTGATTGATTTCTGAAAAGTAGAGTGATCTTGGCTTGCCAGTACACTAAAAATGACTACTGGATATCCGGTATAATGTGAACCTACCCCCAAACCGAAAAGTTAAAACTTTTTCCCGCCAAGATCATATCCTAAAATCACTCAGTTTGGTATGTCTGCGGCTAAGATGTATAAAATGTTTTAAAGATTTAACCGTATTAATAGCTGGGAGATACTTCACTCATTAGCGACATAGAGAAAATCTTCCGTAAATGATCTCAGATAGTTTAGCCCCTGACTTGTTTGTGCTGAAACGCTTGCAACGTAGGCCATCATGTGACTGCAATATTGCGCACAAAAATTAACTGTTAACTTCTGTTAGCCTGAATTTCATCCGATTGCTTCGAGTCATTTTCTCTCCATCTCAGTTACTGAGGGAGTAATAACGACTCGCAGTAATCGTCTGAAATTCAGGCTAAGTTTGTGTTGACTTCTTTAGTGTTTCCGCCGTCTCGGTGCACCACTGCACGTGACAATTGTTTTCAAATGAGTGTTGAAACTTGTCGCCACAATAAAGGCAGAAACATGTTCAACGCAACATGTCACCGTGGTTGTTTACTATTTATAACAAAATTCCGGAAATTTTAGTTGGGAATTTTCGTTCGGTAAGAACGGTACGTGTCGTTTACCGTTTGCCCAAAATTTCCGGATTGTCGCGCCGCGCTAGACTGGATTCTAGTTTCAACATGTAACTAGTACGAAACTCAAGAAACTTGTAAATGGTAAACGAATTTCCATTCGGAACGTCCAACCGGGAAAATAGGATTACCTTTTCAGAATTTCGGTTTGTCCCGGGAATTTTCTAGCCTGCGTGGCATGGCGGTTTCGGTTGGGCGCGCTAAGTAATAAAGGCGGGCGAGAGCAGAGAAACCGCGGGGAGATTGGGGCGGGAGCAACTTTTTCACGCAGCTTCGCCGCTCGTTCCCGCGCGCTTTGCGGCGAATTTCGCGACCCGCGGCTTCGCCGCTCGTGCGCCCGGCTCAACAAAACCGCCATAATACGCAAACTAGGAATTTTCCAGTGGAACGAACCAAAAAAAACGTTTACCATTTACATCCCACCCGGAATTTCCAGGAGTTTGTTGTAAATGGTAAACAACCTGTGTCAGGGGCAACCAACGACGGTTTTCTCCTTAATGTATTGAAAAGTCATTTTAGGCTATTCAGAGTACTTTAAGATCTCTTCTAGAAATGCATTCTAAGCGGCGCTATAAAATTTGTACGTGTTCGGTCATCCTAGGGGAACTTGAGTCTCTTCGAAATTACGAGGGCTTCAGTGTTATTTTCCGGAAAATTTTAGATGCAATTGAACGTTTTACGAAAGTGGGAATTTTTCTTATTCCTCTCTCCATCACATTCTTGAATCCGAAATTTTAGGTTTCCTTTTTCGACGAAAATTAGCCTAACATAAGGAGTAAAATATGAAAAATTAAACCTCAGAAAACCGTAGGGAATTTTTTAGACAAGCTTCGAAAATTGTACCTGAATGGAACGCTAATCTAGAACTTTTTTGCCCTATTCAAGCAATAGAACATTCTAGGTAATATTTGTTTCTCCGAACAGATATTTTACAGAAAGCAGTCGTTGGGTGCCCCGGCCCTGTCGTGTCTGAGGCTATGTTCATGGTATGAACGGCTATCCGGTATGTGACTCTCCAGTTAGTCCGTACTTAGTAGAGATCGCGCGCCGAAATCACCGTTCTAGTTCTGTGTGAAGGGAGGCCGCTATCGGGTATGGATTTCGTGCCGGCGTAAACGTTATCCGGTATCGTTTGAACATAGCCTTAATATACTTATTTTTCTGTAGGTGGTTACAAGATGTCTAACAAGAAATCTGACTACGCAAGTGATCGCCTTGGAATGGCTGAAGATGCGGTGAGAAGGAAAGCAAGGCGATACCACGTGAGAGAACAGGATAACCAACCAAACTGGAAATGAATTTGACAAGCGCAGGACACCAAACGAAACAACGTCTAGCCTATGAAACTAAGATTATTGCGTCGTCCAGTTCATTTTAAGCCTTAGTAATTTCTCTTTTCTTTATCATTTATTGTTGTTACAATGGATTTCAGTCTGCCATATGTGCGGATAGGGTAATTCAACTTGTAAATCGTTGCCATGTGTAACCATGTAGAATTCCTGTAAATTAATTTGTAAAGTGAATTGAACAATAAAATCAACTATTAGAAGGATAATAGATATATCTGGCACTTAGTCATCCAGATCCTGCTGATACATCTGCAAAAGCAGTCTAAAATTGGTTTTATGAAATACATACTGAGATTTACTAACTGAAAAGCAATGACGCAAGTGAAACTTTCATGGCAAATGAGTTCTAGCCAATCGGAGGAGCGAAAGTTTTTTCTTTTTCACAAGTGACAAAAATAGCGCCTCCGTTAATCAGAATCGCGAACGATGGTTTTTTTTCACAAGGAAAAAATTTTGTTCAGACAAAAGCAACAGCCGTGCCTAAGTTACTTAGTTTAGTTCTCGAGCAAAATTTTCCGCCTTGAATAGTTTTCACTCACGTGGTTAGCAGATACGCAAATTTGCTGGAACAAAAGAAAGCTTTTATTTCAGAAAAAGAGTCAACTCTCACAGGTTTGGAACACCAACATGGCCGCTGTTTCATATTGTTCTGGAACACCATGGGGCGGACGTGACGTCATGCGAAAACTCCCTATAGGTGCTTACAGCGCCCTAATTCCTAGCCTGAAATTTCGCCACGCCACCACTGGTTCCCACCGGGGGGGGGGTACGGGGGGATACGCCCTTAAGTCATATAGGTACGTGCCGCCCCAAAGGCTAGGGGTTTTGCGCTGTTTTGGTCTAAAAACGGGTATAGACTTTGCCCATTTTGGTCTGGAATCGGGAATGGGTTTCGAGGGAATTACGGGAGTGTTGGAATTTAAGAAATCTTTTTTTTTGTCCTAATTTAATAAGTAATGATGATATAATTACTTAGATGCCAGGTCTGAAAACGGGTATGGATTTTACAGGCCAGGTCAGTGAAAACGGGTGTGAAAAATGACATTATTTGGTCTGAAATAGGGTCAGGATTTGGAGAACCTGGCGGCACATCAACGAGCGCAATTTCATACTGATGACCCGATACTGCCCAGATCTTGTTAGTACCTCTGATTGGTTAATTAATAAAGTCCGCATTAAAAGAAAAAAAATTTGGAGACGTTTTTCTTGCAGAAAAGAGAACACTGTTGAAATAGTGATAGCTTCGTATATATTATTGTCACTGACGAAATCTGTGAAGAGCCTGAGAAACAACAACAGACGGGAAAAAACAGAACGCCCATTTCACTCAAATTGCCAAAGATTTTGCTTATTTTGCTTATACTGTAAGCCTCATACTCGGAACAAAAAGTTAAGAGACTTACAACCCGGGGGGCGGGGGGCTGCAACTTCTGTAGACAAGACACCGGACAATGTCTGTATTAACTAATTAATTTCGTAATCTCACTATACGTTTTGCCAAGAGCCATATTATGGCTCTTGGTTTTGCTCGGTACTGTTTGAGAGCCAACGTCGTTTTCCTTGTTATTTCAAGATGTTGGTTATCCTCTTCCAGGCTCCGAGATGGTCGGGTCCGCAGGGATTGAGAAAGCACGTACCTTTCACTTTTGCGTCTTCCCCACTATCTGAGAGCCTGGAACAGTGACATAAATATGGGCGTAGCGTGAGGAAAGAAGCCTCTGTCTGCAGCCGTTCATTCCCGTTCGATAATTTAGATAATTAAATTTTCTTGGAAAGTGCGCGCGGACGTTATTTACGCACAAGTTATTGAAGTATCAGGGTGGATTCCACTGTCGCGTGATTTAACGTGCGTACGCCCTTTCCTCTCCTTTTTATTTTCATGTTTGTGCGGACCCGACTATCGCGGAGCCTGGAACGTAACAGGCTAATATTTATGACGAAAAGGTAGCCTCTTTCTTCCCCCGCCCCCGTTGCTCGCAGGCTATCTCTACTCGCAAGGTTACAGGGAGCAAACAAATCCGGCAACAAACTCTGAAGAATAAAACATCTCGTCCACTAATGACCCACTAATCATAGCTGTTCATCGAACGAAAACTTACGTTCAGTCCCCTTTGTCGTGAAAATGACTATCAGATAGCAGTCGAAATCTTGCGCTTTATATCAAAAGTAACAACGCATCGTGAGGCAAACTATAAGTTACTTTGTCAACGTTCCTTGCCACAATCATGGATGTCCAAACCAATCGTAACACTTCCACTATACCGACTACAACGTACCTATATCAAATGAGCCCTTCAAGTAAAGATAAGAAAGTCGAAAATATGTACTATTATTACGTATTTTTGCGTATTCAAGTACGCGCGAGCAGTCAAACAAAAGGTCTGGAACGAGGCTGAAAACAGAGAGCGAGACTGGGGAGAGACGCTAAAGGGAAAACGGACGGTCGGTTTTTCTCTCGCCTCGCAAGCCCTACGGGTGTGCGCGCCTCGTGCGCGTAAGACTCTTACGCCACGCTTTACCGATTTCTTTACTGATTTTGAGTAAAAAATCGACTGTTTTGCAGTCTACAATGGAGATAGCTTCATAGCCTATGCGCTAATGTCCAGCAATGGATAGATACAGGAGCCGGCTCCTGATAGATAGAAATGATTGTCCTCTGTACCTACAATCTTGCACAAAATAGATGGGAAATTTATACCTCCCGCTCCCACCAAATCAAGGATGGGAATATGGCGCATTTTGGCTTTCGCACGGCTTCATCATTGATTTAGGAGGGATGGAGGGATGAGGGTTAGCCTGCTAACAGCAGACGTATTTCCGGTCGAGAGAAGCGACGACCGGAAATACGTCTGCTGTTCGCGGGCCACACATCTACATTGAAAAAACATAAATCAACTTCCGGTTCCGGTTAAATAAATATTGTTGTAGTTGCTATTTTGAATATGGAAAAATATTAACCAGTGTAAAGCAGTTCGGTTTTTTTTAAAAAATTAGGATTTTTTTTGGAAAATAGTTACTTTCGTTTGAGCATTTTTTTTCGGAAAATCTGCGAGTTCATTAAACCGGAAATTGTTGAAAACATGTGTCAAAGTGAGGCTGAGTGGTTTATTTATAGTTGATGTTTAAAGCCTATCGTCTGACTGTGATCCAAGCAAGCTGTGACGGCCGGTCCCAAGTTTCTTCCTCTTCTTCTTGCGATCATGCCTCGTTCTTTTCTTGTGAAGAGGCGAAAGAGCGAAGATACAAAATCTGTTTCCGATTCCGGTAAGTTAGAGGTGAACTTGATTCTTTACTTAAAATTCGCACGTGTACCGAACGATCGATCGGTCATATTCACTCGCGGTTCCTCTTCACTGCCTGGGTACGGTTGATTTCAGATGTCAACACGCGGAGACAGAACTCTCTATTCCACATCACTGGTCGAGCCGCTGGGAAAATTGGAAAATGATCCGCGTTTATGTTAAGAAGAATATTGCTTTAATTAATTCAAGTTTATTCGAACTGCTTACCGATTCATTATTCAACTTTACATTTGCAAAATCATATCACAGACGTACATTAACCCGTTGAGATTTTTCAGCGACGAGAGAGAAATTGTACAATTTCATTCATCTGCGCCTTCATGGGGAAAAGAGTTTAATCTGGTTTTCTTGGTTTTAAGCGGGCTTTTTAGCGTTTAGAAATCTTCAGAGTCTTTTTCTTATTAGCACTTTTGCAAGTAACAGTAATTTTAGTATACACACACCTGGGATGCTGACGGCAGATGTTTTGCAAACTTGCTGGCCCGGGTGGCGATTTTCTGTTTGAATTTCCACAGCTTTGACAAGGGGATTACCAGTGGATGAAATTCCACTTTTTTCCGGGATTTGTAAATTTCCCCTCGTTTTCGATTGCTGTTCGATACCAGGCAACTTGAACACAAAAACCAATGGAAATGTTGTCCTATGAATTTTAGCCATAAATTAAAACGGTTCTGTAAACATGTGAGGCCTAATGTCACAGCTGTTCCGAGGGGATTGAATTCAGCAATAAAAATACAAACAACCACGCATAAAAAAAGAGAAAAAAATAATGTAAAAAGCGGGAAAGCAAAACTTTGGAATCTGGCATAAGAAAAGGGCGGCTAAATTTGCTTAAGCTTGGAGAGGAATTTCAAGACAACTAAATTATGATAAGACAGCGCGGGAAACGTTAAATGAAGCCCGGAAGGCCTGCTGCGTTCAGGTCTTGAAATGCCCTCTATCTTTACTAATAAAAACGAAAAGTTATGAATTTTAATCAGAGCGGAGGAAAATCTTGAGAGCATTAGCCCTAAGAATAAAGACGAGAGCTTTACGAACGTCTCCCTAAGATGATTTGTATCAGGAGCTATTTTGAATGATAATCCTTGGGGAAAACTGGAAAAATAAAATCCTCCGACGATAGCCTAGGATCATTGTGATATCATTGTGTACATTATTCCGAGATTTGTTTATTTCACGCTAGATAAATGAAACTTTCTAGAAAAAAGGCGGGAGAAAATTAAATCCTCAAAAAATGTACTTCTTCTTTGAAATATGTTAATATACATGTAAAAGAAAGATCTAAAGCGGGCTTGCTAATGATGTTGGTAATCCGAGGAATAAAGGCAAATTTTCCTTTCAAGAATAAAGGTGGTATCGTAAAAAAATCGAATTCGACGCCTGGACACACGCAAAAGTGACAATATTTTATTTGCTATGTTAATTTTAGTTTTTTCTTTCATTAGAAAGGATTCATTTTTCATTTCAAAACTTTTCACTTTTCAATCGTAAAAAGCCTTCATTGACGCTCTGTATAATAAAGAAAAAAATCAGGTGAATGATAAATCATGACAATTTTGATTTTAAAACAGGGAACTCTTTAGATGGACTGACAAAAGGCTTTTACGAGAAAAATTTTAAATGAAAGATAAATAATTTTTTTTAGCTGTTGAAGATGTATTCTTTATGTCGAAACAGATGTTCAATACGTTGCTGATAACAATACAACATTTTAAGAGCTCGTATAAAGCTTTTTTCCTGCGTTTGTTTTCTGTCGAAGCAACTTGGAAATCGACGATGGCTTTTTCAGAACGCCTTATCAGTCATAAAATGAAATATTTGTTCCAAACACTCGGAAAAGGTCTGAAGATATCATCACTTATTAAATTTCTTATTCATCTCTGGTGAAAAGTCAGCGAAAAAATTGTAATTCAAGTCTGGAAAGCAGCGTGGAAACAACTGTGCCCCAGAGAAACCATTTGTCGCGTTGTTTTCGTTAAGCTCTAATTTGTAGATTGTTTGCCCGGGAAAAGCGTTTTGTGCAATACGAGAAGAATGGAAAATAGCATATGGAAAATCGATTTTTTGGGGCCTGTATGTTGTCTGTGGCTTTTAAAGATCGCCGTTAGCCAAAACTAGATATTCCAAGAATGCTTATTTTTCAGATAACGCATGCAAACGAAAACAGCTGGGCTTCAGGTGGATCTTTGATATGCGCCTTTTAGAAGAAAATGGGCGTTTTTACCGCGCAGAAATGGTTTCAGTTTTAGTGAATTAAGCCGCTTGTATTGATGGGCCTTTGTATTACAAGTCTTTTTATCCCAAAACAATTGAGTTCTGAAACTCAAACCACTACAATGTGAAAGGAGAAAATGAGGAAAAACAAAACAATAGTTAGCTTCTTCTTCCAGATGGTTTACATGTATTTTCCACATTTTTGCATCTGGCATTTCCTGCTGTTTTTCAATAAGATTAAGTTATGTGTGTGTTATCGAGTATCTCGATTTAAAAGCCACGGTTTAGACGGTAAACACTTAGGGAAAAACACATTCTCGCCTAGATCTGCACTGAACATAGAAAAAGTTGAAAAATGGTTTGAAAGTTTCGTTTGATCACCTGTAAAGAAAAAAAGGGGGCAACGTTATTACAATAATCTCCCTCGGAGGAAGATCAAGTTTAATAAACGAAATTTCGCATTTTACGACTCGTAATTAAAAAAGCCCATGCAATATCAGCCCTCTGTAAAGTTGTACTTTTGAGTTCCCAGCCTCAGGTCATCGTACTAAATTTTTCATATAAATGAAGATTTTCTTTTCACCTTAATTACTTTGTAATAAAGCGTTTTTATTTAACGCGTTTTGCATATGCAAAACCGCCGCCATTTCCGACCGCTCATAAAGAAGCAAATGTTGTTTTTCCTCAGTTCACTTTCACATGCACTCATCCACCGACAGTGATAGATTAAAATTCTGTTCTGCACTTTCCGCTGCATTAACAGCCCGTGTTATTGTTTCCCAGGAAATTAAAAGCGCAATAAAAGAAAAGATGTCGAGGATCCGTCGCGCGTTTTTTAAAAATACAGTACCCTTCGATCAGATTCTCTTTCAATCTTCCTACATATTACTTATTAGAGACATTAGAAGGAAACCCTGCTCCTAGGGTATTAAAGAAGTGGTTTATCTATTTTTTCGGTTGATGAAATTTTTTATTGCTTAGGACTCCCACCTGCTCAGAATGTACAAACACTAAAAAAAGAACAATTGACTATTCACTTCCGCAGGCAGAGCCTACTTGTCACACATGTTGCGTGACAAATCAAGCCACTCACTTTCGTTCCACCACCAGCGTGTAGATCGCGCGGGGGGGGGGGGGGGGGGGGGGGGGGGGGTTTTTCCCAACATTTTTGGGTAGGGGGGTGGTGGGGGGTGTTAAACACCCCGCCCCTTTTTTGTGAAAAACACCCCCAAAAAAAAAAAAGAGAAAGAGGGGGGGTGGGAGAAGAGAGGAGGACCGGGGGGCGGCCCGCACCATAAAAAAAATTTTTTTTTGTTTGTTAGATATTTTTTTATATCCAGCCCACCACCCACATAAAAAAATAAAAAAAAAAAAAAAAAAAACAAAATTCTCCCTTCCCCCCCGGGGCGAGCGGCCCCCTTACGTCCGTGTGGCCGAGAAGCCGCCCGGCCCCCGGGCGCGCCGCCGGGGGGGGGGGGGGGGGGGGGGGGGGGGGGGGGGGGGGGCGAGGGCGGGGTTACTTGACCAATATTTGGGTATAGGTGAGTTACTGAGGGTTTAAAACCCTGACCCTGTTTTGGACAAGAAAGTCCTCAAATATAAACCCAGTTTAGGAAAACACCTTAAATTACCCTGTTTAGGAAAGGACAAAATGCAAGCGATCTTGTTTTAAAGCCATTTATTGGCAATTGCAATAGAGCAAATTCACGCTGTCATAGCCTTTGTGTACTTGGAGTACAAATAATTTCATAAGTCAAATCAATCATACAGGCAATACCCTGTTTCCCTTCATTTCACTACCATGTTTAAGACAAGAGATATTTTTTGGAGGCCCAAACGTGACACTCTGTTTAAGAAGTTCTCCATTGTTTCTTCAGTTTGGGTTCAATGAGTTTTTTCAATTATAAACACATCACCGACCACGTATGTAGACTCTGACTGTGCCACCAAGGTTTGCACCGTACTGAAGGCTTCAGGTCCAGGAAGATACCCTGTTCAAGGCGCTAAATATTGAAATTGTATACCCTGTTTAAGGCTCAAGAGCCTCAATCTGGCCAAAACATACCTGTTTTGGCCAGATATTGATAAGGGAGTGACTCCTGACCCCTGGGGGTAAATTATATACCCAGTTAAAGTCAAAGATGTTTAATTCAACCTGTTCTTTGCATTTTTTCAGAAATTAAAGATGGCATAAAAAAGGATAGATTGAACCATGAGGTTGAACGACAAACAGCTGTACCCTCCAACCAGCGTGTGGGTTTTCATCCATCATCACATTTGAATTTATTGGAAAGAAATCACGCAGTTTGGAATCGTTCAAACACTTCCTGTTTTCACTATACAGCAGGATTACTACGACATCACATGATTGACAGTTTTATCAATCTAGCACCAAGCCATACGTGCGTGAAACATTGCTGTTGTGACTGCTTTCATAGAAAACTTGAACAGAATACTGGTTGTTTGAGCTGTCTTTCTTCAGCACCTAAAACCCTGCCTGATGTCACCCAACATCTTGCATTGCCACGACGTTGCAGTGGCACAAACCATGACTGTGCCTGTCATATAATTTACTTTCCAAAGCGTGAACCATTTTATCCAAAGCCTTTGCCAGCAACATTAAAAGGAGAGGAATTCGATGAGAAAGAAGTTAGGCAGAGAGTAGAAAAGAGACCCATAGGCCTTGTAGATAAGGACATCGAAAGAGTTGTAAGCTCAGATACTGACCTCAAAGTTTTACCAGAGGAGAAAATGTCAATCAATAAAAGTACTTACAAAGAAGACACAGATAGAACAATGGATGAGATTCCTGCAAAGAAAATAAAGACATCAGTCACAAATGTTTCGGATACCAAAGTCAAGTATGACAGTGGGAAAATTTCTTCATTAAAGGAAACAACTCAATTAAACATCACTGAGGTCAAGAAAACAAACGATTATGAGACAGAAAGCGCATTGGCATCTCGTAAAAAGATTAAAAAAGAAATCTCTGAGCCAAAGAATGCAGGTACTGACAAGAAAGAGCTCTGTAATAGTGAAGTTAACAGCCAGGAAAAACATGAGACAATGCCAATGAATGTCCAGCAAAATTTACCTCGTAAGGTGGCAAGAAAGCCACAGCATTCAAAATCAAAACGAGCTGGCAAAGATGGCATTGTGAAGCATTATAACACGAGGGTTGCAACAACTCGGCCAAGAGTTTACAGTTCTGACTTTGTTAGTCCAGAAGAGGATGATGACTGGAAGCAGGATGGGGAAGAATTCCAAATGAAAAGTCGACAGAGGTCAAAACTAAACAGACTTCTAGCAAATGAACATGAGCGTCGAAGAGTTGCCCAGTTGAATAATGCATACCAGGATTTGAGGCAGTTAATCCCAGGATATCAGTGTGACACTAAACTCCCCAAAATCAAAATACTGAAATATGCTATTAATTACATAGCACATTTAGATAAAATTCTAGGGGGTGGAAGTATACAGGAGGTGTAAACTTATAAGGGGCTCCCCTGTTACCCCATGGTTTATTTACCCTGTTCACCCGCAGTGTTCTTACCAGGATTTTCTACACTGGGGTCCACAGGACCCATAGAGAAGCTAAAAGGGGGTTATGAGGGAGAAAAAGCAAGTCACACAATTTTTAGATACAGTTAACTCAATGTTTACACAGGTCTGAGTTAGAGTAAATACCTCGTACTTTCTTAGATAATAAATATTATTAATATCCAGTTTTTCATGCAGTTAACTCAAGGTTTTGTAGCTCTGAGTTAGAGTAAATGCTTCATCATAAATGTCTATATATTGAAAGGAAATATACGTACGCGTATGTATGCCTACGTATGTTTTGTAATAGGGTTTTTTTCCTTCTTTACACCCTTGGGACCCCTAGTTGGGCTAATAAAATAATAGTGCTGCGTTTCCTGAAAAAGTGAGGCAATGCCACAATGCTGCGATCTGGTAAGAACACTGCACCTGACACATTTCACAGTCAGTAACCAAATTTCTTTCACAGACCCAAGGCCATTCATGCTAAATAAATAAATAAACAATACAAATTCATCGATGAATCCTGTTAAATCCAATCTCCATTCACCTGTCTCATTCAACAAAAAACTATTTTGTAAGACAGGATTCCTAAATAATTACCAAATAATAAAAAGCTTAAATCACATTTCACTGGAGAAAGAAAAAAATCACTAATACATCACAAAAATCATGCAGGGGACCCCCTTTTAACAGGAAAAAAAAAAGTGTTGGTATAAATTGCGTGTATGTAGAATAAGTGTAGAATTTATTAAAGCAAAGGTTAGATACTAGTGTTCAAACACAGACCTCTTTATAGCTATTGTTTTTCTCCCTCTGACTTGGACAGCTGGAAATACCGTTTGTTGGTTTTCACAGGCTATGTTGATACCAATAGATTTTTTTTGCAGACTTTTAAATGCGGAGTAGACTACTCAGCAGAGAATTGAATGATGTTTTTTGGCAGCAATGAAAATATAACTTTTTTCACTTATTGTAGTTTCAGGAAAAGTTTGAGTGGGAACATAACATGTTTCATTGGTAAATCTGACTCTACAAGTTCAGTTAATGCCACACCTGTACTGAATATTGGATAACACTTATACACTAGTCAACTGTCTCTAAAATGGACACCTTTGGGACAGGCAATGAGTGTCTGTCTTAGAGAGATGTCAGTCTCATAGTGAGTCAAATAAAGCAAGTAAAGAAAGGCAGGGACAGGTGTCCTTTTTATAAAGGTGTCCGTCTTCTAGGGGTGTCTGTTAAAGAAGAGAGTTTGAACAGTAAAGAAAAAATAATGGTTCAGGGTTCTAGTTTTCACTCTATAAACATCTGTATGCATGAGATTGTTCTTTGTTCTGCATCCCATGCTATTACCAGACAAATTTTTTAATAAATACCAGTGCAATAAATAACAGTAATAATATTTTCATAAGCTGTAAAGCAAAGACAAGAACAACATTTTAATGACCTAAAGTTAAAATATTTGTATCAGTATCATAAGATAATCTTGCATATTGACAGTTACCAAGAACTAGTTTTAAAATTGATAAAACATGAGTACTTATTTACTCTTACTGCACACCAAACTTTAAACCCACAGGGTAAAGTTGAGACTTCTGTCTCAATGATTATCAAAATGTGTATTGTTTGGTACAATACATGTATATCTATATTTTAATATTAAGTTGTACTATTAAGTGACTTGTTGAAAATCAACATTTTTCTTTCCAATAAAAAAACTGCACTTATGATATTTCATTGGATTGCATTATTATTATTATCATTATTGTATAAAATTCCATAATTTTTATTAGTTAGTCAAAAAAAAAAAAGTCTTATATGGGTAGGCTCTGCCCCAAGGTCCAACCCCTTACCCTTTTATATGCCACTTTTGACAAAAAAGGTACCCTTGTATAATGCGCGCCCATGTATAATACGCACCCTAATTTTTGACCACTTTTTTTTTTTCTAAAAAAAAATTTCAAGACAAACCGCCAAGAATTAAAACTTCAATTTTTCCATCTCAAGAGCTGGGAATTCATTATATGTTTACAACAATTTCTAAGTAGTTGCTACTACAAACATTGCACACACCGAGCACCTATTTACAAGCTTTTCTATTCAATAAAAGTCAAATGTCGTACAAATGTTGTAACTTGAAGTCCTTATTAATATACCTAAATTCACAACTCGAATTATTATCATAACAGCAATTCATAAACATTATTTCTACTCACAGCACTGCTGGTAGCTTGAATATCATCACTGCATGTGTTCGATTCAATTAGTAAAATGTTCAGTGTCTTTAAACAACGAAACCTTCAAATTCTGACTCAGAGTCCGATGCAATTACCCATAGGTTTTCAATGAATGAATCATCAAGTTCATCAGTAAACCCCTTTCACATACCTAGTTTTAAACTTTGCATCTCTTTTAATACTGTCAACGCACTGTTTTTAAAATATGAATAAATCACAATGCAAAAAAAATTTTCTTGAATTCTCACTGCCATATAATCATTCTGTTAGCCTTTCTAGGTTTTTTTAACTAGTGAAATCCCTACCCTTTCATATACCTGAAGCCTGAAAAAGAGACCCCTTTTGGGCGGGGCATCCTCAAATAGGCTGTCATAGGGAGTAACCCTCCCCCGCCTTGTACGTAGAATTAAGAGGTAATTTTTCACTTTACAAGTGACAGAGCCCCCTCCAAGGGAAAAGCAAATAAAATTTAAATGATATTAACCCATTCGCTCCTGGAGATTTTGCCGAAAAACGCGTTTTGAAGCTAGTCGAGTGGTTTTCTGGTCACTGTCGTGCTATAAAGAGCTAAAACTTACCACAAACTGAAAAAGAATTAAAACTGAAATGCTTTTTAAGCTTTCAAATCCGAATTCAAATCTTGCACTAACCCTGGATTATCTTAACCCAGCTTTCAACAACTCGGCCCTGAGAAGTTTTATATTAACATAATTATTATCATCCAACTTCTGAAATGTATGACCATCCCCCTCCACTTGAGAAAAAACAAAAATTCAGAACTTGAAAAATATTTTGGTTTTATTCTGTAAGGTGTCCAATAATTATGGCCATACTTCATAGAAAGTCTATTGTTCAGTAAGGCTTATGACTATTGTGCAACTGTTACTGTTATTAGTAAACATAGATATTTTCAAATAAGAAGTTCACTTTCTTGTTATTGTTTTAACCCTTTAAGTCCCAATAGTGACCAACATCAATTTTCTCCTAACAATGTCCATACATTGTCAAGAGATAAGGTTGTGAGAATAATTATAAAAAAATGATCAGGAAAGAGAAAATGCCTTGATGCTTTATTAAATTCTCTCAACTAATTCTTAAAGGAAATGTATGGAGATCAGTTTGGAGAATTTGTATGTGGATACTGGGGCTTAAAGGGTTAAGGGATTAAGTCTTGCCTGTAAAATTATTTCCTGCTCCTGTCACTTTTCAGAGATTTTCACAAGTTCCTAACAGCACCATTTCCACTCGAGAAGGGAGCCTCTATTCTTGACTGATATCAGTTTCTCCAGCCAATGACCGTCTGGGACTAATCTAGCTCTCTGAAAGAGTTGCATCATTCTAGTTTTCGTCTGTTTCACTTTTACTTGAAGTTGGGCCATCCTTCTTTAAAAGCCGTCCATCATGGGGAATAAGATTTGGAATGCCATTCACTATTGGAAATGCCACACCAATTTCATCTGAAATCAGTTCATTTGTTGTACTCTCATATCTGACATTCAAATTAGATATTCATAATTAAAATCAACACGCATTATTTTATTATCTTACAGAGCTATTATAAGGTTTTGCAACACTTAGTTTGGGTTAGAGACTTGTGTAAGCACTATCATTATATGGCTAAGTCTGTTTTCGCCATGTGATTGGTCAATTTGCAGTTGGTAACTTGCTATACGGACCAAAATCTCAAAAGCACTCGCTCATTTCTCATCTCTAAATCTCTTTTTCTTGAAAAAAGAGTTTAAAGTACCGGTAAGTTACAAGATGTCTGTCAACCAAGAGGACTTGGATGTTGACTTTGTTCTTCAACACTTTAACCTGTGATTATTTGTGAACGAAAACAACCCAACAATTTAAACATAGAATCACTGGGGTCTACGGTCTTATTACACTCACTTAACAGTAATCAAATTTATATTACATTACTGGTCATAGCTATGACATAACAATAAAGGAGCATAGTTAGTCTAAGAAATTTTAAATAGCTGATAAGGGCCATTTCCATTTAATATACACCCCCCTCCGCTGTTGACAAAATTTTCTGAAGAGGTAAACAAAAACATGGAATTTCTGAAGGCTGTACTACTGAACACCAGATTTTCTGCGGGAAAGTGGCAAAAAAGCAAAAATTTCTGAGGTGTCTTGAAAACAAAGACCCCCTAAGATCCCTCACAGAATGACTCTGAAATTTATTGTTAATCTTTACGGTTAGGAAATTGAGTTAATCAACTTTCAGGTCAGTTTGTCCAGTATAATGACTTAAGTGGAACCTGATTCACTCAGTTTCCTAACCCTAATCAATAAAGTTCAGAGTCATTCGGTCGGGGGTCTTACCGGTCTTTGATTTCAAGACACCCAAATTTCTTAAGGTTGTAAGATTTGAGGCCAGATCTTCTGAGGGTAAGAAGCGGAAAAGCAAAAATTTCTTAAGGCTAATAGACTCATAGAGCGAATTTTCCGACGGTTAGGAAAATTCAAAGTCCTTCGTCAACGGGGGGCCGGGGTGTATATTAAATAGGATGGCCCTAAATATAGTTTTGAACGCAGGATTTTCTTCCTTACCTTAGTGGCTTTTTTGATAAGGGACAGACCAAAATTTCCAACAGCTTTTTTTCGATCGAAGTACCTTTCTCATTTCCCAATTGATTTCCAGAGCTGAAAGTTCTCGAAGATTTAGTGAAAACGCGCCTCTCTAAGACGTTTTGCAACGCAAGGAATGGCGATCTTGCCGCCATTTTGATACGCTTTGTAGCCACTCAATTTAATTAAAGAGGCCTGGCTTCAAAGCGGAAGGACTTTCAAAATGGCGGATCAACGCGTGTCGTGCGGGAGAGATTTTTTCTGTGTTCCTGACCTTGCTGGAGCCTTAAGGAACGCTACGAACGGAGGGTATGGAATTTATAAGTTACTTCTTTTAATAGAATTGTTTCTTTGAAAATAATAGACAGAGATCTCTTACAGCCAGTAGTGAATTTAGGTTTGACATGGAGGTTGAATAATCACATGTGCAAGACTTGCATACTGGAATTATCCCAAAAGAAAGCTACTAGATCACATTTTTGCGAGGAGGAACGTCTGCGACTCAGCGACAGAAATTCCATACTGATGACGTAAATCAATGTTTAACATAATAAATCCTGTAGTCATGGGTTTCCAAATGCAAATTTGTTCAATTTTACATTTCTCCTGGTCGATTTTGGTGAAGCGTTGTGTTCATCTGCAAATGAGCTCCAGTAAAACTCAGATGCTACTTTTAGAGAAGACTATATTCCACAAATATTGACTGTTTTGTTGGAGATTCATCACATTTACATTTGACCTTTGCGGCCTTTTGTCTTTTGTCTGTCATTCGTAAACAATAGCTAAAACAATGAAACTACTCCATCGACCAATTAGCGGATTCCAGACAGATTTTGCATCATCAGTATAGAATTTCTGTTGCTGAGTCGCAGTCGATCTTCCCCTTTTTATTAGAAATATATCTTCAGTTAATGCTTTCAAGAAGGCTCTTAAAACTCATTTATTTCAGAAGGTGTTTCCCAGCTAATTTATTGTTTTTATTCTCTTTATTAAGAAGGATTTGTATATAGGATTTTAAAGATTAATTTTTATTTTTAATTGTTATTTTTACTAATTTTTAGGAACGATCTGTAAATTTTGTTTTTTTGGAATATGTACTAGGATTTTAGGATTTTGTTGAGTCAATGTTATGCGCAGATGAAAATTTCTTTCCCTGGATTGATATTTGCGCAATACAAATCAATAAATATTATTATTATTATTATTATATTATGAGGAAGAGGTTGAAATATCGTCAAAATAATTTGCTTAAAAAAATCTCATGCCTCTGGTTTGTATTTTTTTTATTAATAGTCAGTTAATATTCTTCGAGACAATAATATTATGTCCACCTGATTATTTTTGTGCCCTCCATTAGTTATCAAGCTATGGAAACCGCTTAGCTTTTGTACAATGTTCTTTGACCTCAGCAATTTCTCTATGAGGGTTGCTCCCATTCTTCAAATTAAAACAATAATGCAGGACACTAAAATTCGTCCCCTCTCCATTTCAGGTTTGATTTTATCTGTGTTCCTATCTGCCATCCAAGATACCGCAGAGAATTCTTAGATCCAGTTCCCAACAGAACAGGAGCATTCACCCGTTCCGACTTGGTGCTTCCTAGTCAAGGTGATAATATTGCAATGGACCTCCACTGTACATATAGGGCAAGTCACCTACCAGTGAAAAGTGCTGGTTGAATGGTATAATCATGGCAAATTTTCAGGCCTTTTGGCTGCAAGCTGTATTTGAGGATGTCTCTGGTCACTGCCCAAAAGTAACTTTCAGCAGAGACTAGCAACAGCTGGAAATATGTCCGAGTTTAAGTTTTTGACTGTGTTGTATCTTATCAACTGGGAATTTTTACTTTTCTTAAATGAAGTTACTGCTTTATCAGAGTGAGGAAACCAGGCCTTTTCCCATTTGCTGTATGTCACTTTGTGACATCTGAACTGAACTGAATATGCCTTTTATTGACTTGTAGATTGGAATAGCCTGATTGTTGGCAAAATTTCACCGTGGCTTGACTTGGATTCTTCCAATGAGATTGTGCGAAAGAATTCAGAACTAGTAAGTTGCCCTATAAAGGGATTAGTTTTGTTGGTGTAGAGCAGTTTTGCATCCACTAAAGACATGTAAAACGTACAGTTGGCATCTTGATAATGGAGGCTCTACTTGTATGTTACCTGGTAGGAATATATATAACTTAAAGAAACTCAAAAGTCAGAGCTGTAAGGAGAGTCTTGGACTTAACTAAGAATCGGAACATTTTCTTTTTGTCCAGTCGTGCCTATGAATTAAAGGAGTTGTCATAGCTTGTATGCGGTTTCTTACATGTGTGCATGCTTACTAGCATGCTTCGTGTGACTTGCTCATTGATGAAAAAGACTTGTTGAGTTTTCTACACTGAGTGTTGTTGAATGTGTCAATATCCTGAGCCGAAACTACAAGAGTAGTCAGTTATGATCTGGCGTAATCCAGATTGTTAGTCAGAGCTGCCAGCTTTGGAATTGAAAATGGCCAAATTCAAACCACTCACAATTATAGTGTTCATTCCCAATCCCATGCACTGTGATTAGTTAAGTTCTTTAGGTTCTGCTTGTGATTAATAGTATACAATAGATTGTAAGCGAAGTAGTGGAAAACAGAACCTGAACTCTGCTCTTGCTAAATCTATACTTGTACTTGCTAAATCTGTAGTTGCTATATATACTCTGCGTTTCTGATTATGGCTCCCATTTCAACTCTGTCATTAGTGAAACCAGCCTTTAAGATAACAAAGTAAACTACGCACAGCATTGCTTCATGAAATGTGATTTTGATATATTTTTCTTTCTGCAGGGATTGCATCAGGAACTATGTTATTCAGTTCACTTGAGTCTTCCTGCTGTTCTTGTGCCTCTGAAGAGTTATAAGTGCACGAACCTTGCACATCACATCAACACAAGTATAAATGACACACATGTACAACAGGTTAGTTCACTTTGACATCCTGGTCTTATAACCCTGTCTCAAAGCGTCACTGAAAAGCTTTGACATAGATGTTGAATCCTGGGAGACCATGGCCCTAGACCGGCCTGCCTGGTGTAGCAAAGTTAACAAAGGCACTGTCCTCTACAAGCAAAACAGGATAGCAGGGGCTCAGAGGAAGTGTGAGCTGCACAAATCTAAAGTGATCTCCTTGACACCTACTCAAGAAACTTACCAGTGTCCGGAATGTGGCAGAGCCTTCTGCGCCCATATTGGATTGATCAGCCACAGCTGGAAACACAGCACCTAATCCCTCTCAACGTGATGTTCTTGGTCATCATCAACTATGACCGAAGAGCAATTTAACCCTGATCAGCTGGTACATTGTATTTGGAAATTGTAGAGTGGTTTTAGCTCTACCTCAGGACTCAAACAGCTCAAACTTGAAGTACATTGTCCTTTTCACCATTTTCATCAATTTCACTACTTTACGAAGAGTGCATAGCGTCAAGTCTCCTTTAAATTTTTTGTCAACCCTATGGTGATTTTTTTGCCAGATTCACCAATATTATTTTGCCATTCCATGCATTACTGGCCATAATTGCATTACCCTCAGGTGAATGCTGTGACTACAGCATTTTTACAACATCAACATCAATTTTCTCCCAATGATATCCATACCCTATCAAGAGATTAGGTTATGAGAATTAATAAACTGATCACCAAGTAGAAATGCTTTGATCTTTTGTCAAATTCTCTTAACTTATTCTTTAAGGAAATGTATAGAGACTAGTTTGGAGAAATTGTTTGTAATTATTGGGGATGAAAGGGTTAAATAATTATATGAAGCAGCTTGGAGTATTGCTTCTCCCCTTGACCAGAATGCTGGAACAACAGGGGCACATTCAAATATTTTTTTAAAGTATGAAAATAATGATCAGGTGCTCTCTCTTTGGTAGGAAGTTATAACAAGGTTTTTTTTTATGCAGGTTTGGATCCATGTTCCTATGAGGAGTCCAGAGGATGAATGTGAAAGACATTTGTTTGTAGACCAGGTAACTTAACTGTTTAACATCACATACACAGTAATGCATGTTGAAGGATCTTGGTGATGTATCTGTCACCTTGTGGTTGTATCGAAGCCCACTTTATGGACCACACCCACTTAATGAGGACACCTCGTTATTACATACAGTTTCTATGGTGCCGTCAGTCTCTGATCAACAAGGTTTGACTGTATTTCAGTTATTTTCCCTCATTTGTACAACGGTACAACATTTATGCCTCTCAAGAAAATCTAGAACAATGAAGCTAAAACTCAGACCCTAACCTTCTGTCAGCAAAAACTATTTCCTGATCGAAAAGATACAATTTTACTGATGGGTTAAAATAAATTTTGTACAGGTTTTTTAAAACATTCCACCCGCGAAAAGATAATGTTAGAGGTCAAATTTGATTTCAGGTTAATTTTCATTTAACCTAAGTTGATTCTCAATTCCAATGTCTCCTAGCCCTAGAAGACAAAGGAAATTAAGAATCAACCTAGGTTAGAAAAATTTTAACCTGAAATCAAATTTGACCTGTAACATTGTCTTTTTGCTGGTGCAACATTTTTAAAAATCTGTGCAAAATTTATTTTAACCCGTGGGTAAAATTGTACTGTTTTTTAAAGAATATTGTACTTTCTGCTTCATCTCAGCGATCTTTATTCGTAGTAAATCTATTTTTTCAGGAAGAAGTAGCAGTGACCAAGTTTGACAAAGATCCTTGGGAATGGTAAGGTTTATTAATGGATTTGTTTTGAATTTTTTGGATATTCTGTAGTATATTTATACAGTACTTACTGATCGGGATAGTATTAATTTTTATACAGATTGTATGAAGATGCCACTATCATTTGTTGTCCTTTCAATAATGTTCTTTCCTGTTTAGTCCATAAACAAGTACAAGCATTGATGGTTTTAGTCACACAACAAGGCAACCATTCTGGTGGACAAAACAATAAATTTTTTTTGCAGAATTTCCATGATAAAAAGAGAGTCCAGTTCCCAGTGAAGGAGTATTGGTTTTGTTTTTGTCCAAAAGTGTGAACACCATGACCTTAGCTGAAAACCAGCTATACAGGTTTAATTACTGTTTGGCCCTGATGCTGGTGACCATTTTTTTTTCAAACTGGTTTTTACAGAACATTGAGGAAGGTCATTTTAACTGTCTTTTTTTAATAATTTGTAGGTGGAACTTGTTTAGAACTATTTGTGCAAACAGTAGAAAAGTTGGTTTGGGTAAGTTCTTAAGTCCATACAAGGATACAGACCTTTCCTGCATTCCTGTAAACAAAGGCACCAACTCGAGGCTCAGGTGGAAAAAATACAGTGATTTGTACGAAATTGACCACTCGAGCCATTGCTGGAGTGTAATGCAGGAAAGGTCTATTGATGCATGTAGATTGTACAGTTTACAATGACCGCTACACATTTAAGTCTGACAATTTCTCTTTGGTTATACACTTTTTAAATTCCCTATTATGGACTGCTTGTTACAGCTGCCAGAGGTTGTGAGTTTTTGGCTGGTTCATGTGGTAAATTTTTGGGCTCTACAATATTTCTACTCAACGTTTACCATTAAGCCCACAGCATGAGTGATCTGATGTAAGTCAAACCCATATCATCCGTACAATAATAATAAAAATAATAACAATATTATTTATTAATATTTACAAAGTTAAAGATCATTATGATATTAAAATTTACAGTATATGTTAACAATAATGATTACACAATAAGAGTTCTCTGTACTTGTTTGGCTGAAATTTATGACAAAAATATTATATTTTGTACACTCTCTACTAGCCTTGGAGATTTCTGCTGAGTTGCCTTCAGAGGAAGAGTTAGAAAGATGGTATGGAGAACCAGTAAAAGCAGCAATCCTTCCCACAAGTTTATTTCTAACAAACAAGAAAGGTACAAAGAATTGACTCTTTTATTTAAAGTTCATCTGGGTAAGAAGAAGCCCATATTGCAAAATATATAATAAGGCTTTTTGCACGTATAATTATGTGCAATCACTCCTTCTTGCAAAGCCACCTGTCATAAATATTAATTAATTTTATATATTATTAGAAGTGGCCTGCTGTGTTCTTACCAGACCACGGCTTTGCAACATTGCCACACTTTTTCGGGAACTGCCGCACTATAATTAGCCCAAGGGATCCCAAGGGCACAGAGAAGGAACAAAAACCTATTACAAAACATACGTTATAAGCATACGTACACATACGTACATTTCCTTATAAATATATAACCCAAAATTTAATTGGTTATGGCATCTTTAGAAACACCCATCATTATCTACAGTGTAAGACTCAGACCTGTGGAAATGTTGAGTTAACTGTATCTAAAAAGTGTGTCCCACTTTTCTCTGTCATGACCGCACCCTTTTAGCTTCTTTATGGGTCCTGTGGACCTGAGTGTATGAAATCCTGGTAAGAACACAGGTGGACTGTGGCCATCTCTTAAAGATTAAGTAACCACTGGTCCAAAATTCCTGGGCAAAGAAGTGCAGTTAAAACCTGCCTTGAGCTCAGATGCACTTCCGTGAAACGACCACCAAAATTAATCTTGACATGCTGGGCAGTGGCTTCTTGATTTTAAAGTTTGACTGTATTAATCTTTGCTCAACATTATCTGATTGTTAGGCTTTCCGGTTTTATCAAGAGCTCATCAAGCACTTGTTAGAAGGTTGTTCAGGGTGAGAAGTTCTGTTGTGAAAATTTCCATTGTAGTAACTGTTTTAGTTAATTTTTGTATCCCATTTTGATTTTGCTTGTAATCACTCAATGCATCTGTTCATATTTCAGTTGAATGCACAGTTGATTTTGACTGGTGTCAACAAACACAAAGACAAGGTAGGAATGTACAACAACTCAATACCATTAGAACTTCCATTAATTAAACCACTTTGACTTAGTAAATAAATCTATAAAGTGTACATTATCTTTGTTAAGCATTCTTTCCAGGTTGCCATCGTGGAAAATCAATATTGTCACCTAACACAACAAAGATTTCCCATCAATCTCATATACCCAACAGAATTCAGGCCATAAATAAGCAAGAGAAATGCCACTTCATTGTGCTCTGTTCTTTCGCTAAAAAATTTTTAATATACCGGTAGTTCATTTTTGAAGCTTTAGTTCAGTTATATTCTATGTATTATATGTTATCATGTTTCTTTGCTTTTTGTATTTTTGTTGTCACTTCAATATAAATATGTTTACAATGAATTATTGTACTGTTTGTGAAGTTGTTAATAAAGTTTATTTAAAAAAATTGTCACCCAACACAAGAGCCATCATTCATTCATTCACTTTATGGACCAAATTAATGTAGTTAACCAAGGTTTCTCTTCCATTGTTTACATTGTAGGGACTGGGATTCTACTACCAATACCTTGCCCATCTTTACCAGGTACGTGAAAATAATTACTGTATTAACTGGTTTTTGATAACAAAACGAGACTTAAAAGTTGGCATTAAGTTGAAGCTCCCTTCAGTAATCACCCAAAGTGTGAAGATCTATGTTAATTGTAGTTAATTTTTTATCTCAGGTATTTTTTATTTTTCCTTTTTTTGTCTCCCTTGTTTGGTGAATAAAGCTACTTGTTTAATATAGTTAAAAAAATGTGTAGATCTGGTTTTCACTGCTTACAGGAGGTGGTTGCTGAAGAGATTCAAGCCACAAGGTAGAAAAACAAAAAGGATTAGGGGGGACTGAGGAGTGGGAGTCCATTAGAATAGGGGGGAGAGGGGTACGGGAGTGCAGGAAAGGTAAGGATGGGAGGTGGGAGTGCTAAAAGGGTGAGAATTGGGAGAAATAGAGGGAAATTATGCAACAGTGCTTAGTATTTAGCAATCAAAAGAGGGTTAAAGGGAGGAAGCCAAGAATTAAGGAGTGGGAGTAGGGAATAGAGGTTTGGACACCCATGTAACATAAAGATTTAAAAGGTTTAAAGGCTTGTTTATAGTGGAAAGTGCACTTAGCTTATCCAGCTATAGTTTACAGGCACTCCAGTCAAATACTTAGAGACAAATAATTCAAATACAACATAACACAAAGGGATTAAAAACCTCAACTGGTAGGAGGCAATCAGTTGGCTATTTACAAGCTAGTGTGGCCAAGGATTTGAACTTGTGACCACCAAGAACAAATCCAGTAACTCACCATAGCGGGACTCGAACCTGGGACCTCTGGGTTGTGAGTCCGACGCGCTGACCACTCAGCCACGCTGCCTCCTGTGACTTTGGATGTGGCGGTGTTTTGAAACGTGCTAACTGTTTCACTTACACTGTAGGTCATGGATTTTTCTTTTTTATAGCCTGGAAAACTCCTGGTGATTCAAACAGACCCTTCATGGTATAATGATGATATTGATGAATGTTTGTTTTAATTATTTCTTCAGACCCAGCCTCAGTTGGACAATGTCAGTCAGTTTGCTAAAGGATATGAAGACTACTTGCAATGCCCTCTGCAGGTAAGAAATGTATTGCATCTTGCTTTAAATTTTAGGGCTAAAAGCTCTACTATTCACCATCATTTGCCATGCTACATGTATAATCAGCATTTATTCTAGTAATTCTTCTGAGTACTGGGGATATTGAATCCATGGCTCAAAAAGGGTACATTTTGTACCTTTGCTGAAAGATAGAGGTTATTTTTTCAAAATGCAGGAAATTTGTGAACAGTTACGTGACACACCATGTGAGTGAGTCCCAGATCAAGAATTGGCCTACAGAATTGATGGCTCTTATTGTAATGATCTACCATCATCAGGGGCACCCAAGGACTGTTTTCTGTGAACTATTTTTTTGGAGGCAAATATTGCCTAGAATTTTCTAATACTTGAGGATGACTAAATATTTCTAGATAACTGTTCCATTCATGGACAATTTTCGAAGCTTATCTAATAAATTCGCTACGATTTTCTGAAGTTTAATTTTCAAATTTTGCTTCCCAAGTTAGGCTGTTTTTTTTGTAGAAAAAAGAGAACCTAAAATTTTGGGATTCAAAAATGTGATGGCTAGAGAAATAAGAAAAATTCTCATTTTCTTAATGCAGCAAATTTCATCAGAAAATTTTCGGGAAAATAATACTCAAGCCCTTGAAATTCAGAGAAGACTCAATGACTGAACAGATAAAAATTCAATGGCGCAACTTAATATGCATTTCTAGAGATCTAAAACTGCTCTGGATGGCCTAAAAAGTGTTTTCAATGTGGTGCCCCTGCATCATAAACAATCGCACATTTTTGTAAAAAATAATATTTAACCAAATAATAGTAAACTCTTTCTATAACATTAAATCTCCTTTAAAGGGTGTCAAATTAGTAGATTTTTAGATAATGTGTCACACTGGAATATCTCTTTGTGTCTGTTAGGAGGCAAAAAAGTGCAGAAGCGTGCAACAACATACCATACAATTGGAGGATGGGGATAGGGGTGGGGGTGTAGTACAAGTGGGTGAATGAAAGCTGTATAATTTTACAGAGTTGTCTGATTTTTCTGTTATTATATTTCAGCCTTTGATGGACAATCTAGAGTCTCAAACATATGAAATATTTGAACGAGATCCTGTTAAATATAGAGAATACCAAAGGGTAGGATAATATTAATTTTCTCTTGTTGGTTCTTTAAATGTATGTATAATTAGTTGTAATCTTTTACTCTTTATACCGTAAAGAATGTCAGTGCAATTTTAAAAAAGGATTCTTTAGCAACAGTTATTATTACTGCTATTTTGTTTTTTAATACTGAGTACTTTCGCCAGTGTATGCTTTTCATGCTCTATAAACTACATCACTGTGTCCTCAAATGTGTACATGTCCCTCTTCAGTTTCACTTAGGACATTTTTAATCTTAAAAATATCATGTCTCAGACTCTTGTCATTTATAAATTATTTCTATGCTAGTGAGCACAAGTCTCCAGAGACCAGTTGTATAAATCTGAACATTGGACATAACTAGTAACATCAGCCCTCAGCCAAGTCAAACTCTTTATTTTGACTCTAGACATTAACAGTTCACTTGTAATTTATTTCTATGCTAGTGAGCACAAGTCTCCAGAGACCAGTAATTGTATAAATCTGAACATTGGACATAACTAGTAACATCAGCCCTCAGCCAAGTCAAACTCTTTATTTTGACTCCAGACATTAACAGTTATGTCAGATGAATGGTTTTATCCAGCTTACCCCTTTAGCTCAATAGTAAACTATCTAGACTAGCTAGTGACCAGAAGTTCATGGGTCTAAAACCCTCTGTCAGCTGAACTCACGTTGTCTCACTGACTGAAATAAAACATTCTCAATTGCAGGCAGTTCATCAAGCATTGCTTGACAGAGTTCCCGAGGACCAAAAAGATTCTGTTGTGACGTTAGTATTGTTATTTTGTGTAACAGTTATTTCTTGTGGATACAATCAGTAGTGCAACAATGAACATTCGAAGAAGTTGTGTCACCTTTGTCTTGCTCATTCTGTTAACAATTGTTATGCACCCATATTCGCCCTGCAGCTTGAGAAATTACTTGTAAATGGCAAAATCACAGCATTTTGGCGAACAGATATGTCTCCTAAGCATTTTATCAAATGTTACAAACAACAAAAATGAACTTTGAACAGCTGTTGAGTTTTCAAAAAACACAATTGCAATCTGTTTCAATCTTCTTCAAGTTGGTCCACCAGTTCCTTCTTTTGTATTTGCTGTGTTATTTTAATGTTCTGAGCAGTTATATTAGTGTTTTACTCAGTTTGGTGGCGTTTCCCGCTGCTAGAATTTTCAGTATGTTTCGTGACACAGCTCGTTTAATTTAACCCTTTAAGCCCCTATATCTACATACAAATTCTCCAAACTGAACTCCATACATTTCCTTTAAGAATTACTTAAGAGAATTTGATAAAAGATCAAGGCATTTTCCCTTTGGTGATCATTTTATTAATTCTCATAACCATTCCTCTTGAGAATGTATGGATATTGTTAGGAGAAATTTGATGTTGGTAACTATTGGGACTTAAAGGGCTTTAAGTTAAAACTGCCAGCCGTTTCGTTGTCAGGGTAATTATGGTAGTTGGTGCTGGGCGTGGTCCACTCGTTCGAGCCTCACTGACAGCCGGAGAGGAGTCAGGACGAAAGGTCAGAGTGTATGCAGTGGAGAAGAACCCCAATGCTGTAGTCACGTGAGTGTTTCTATCTTGTTGTGTTAGGATTTTCCACATTCCACTTCAAATCAAGAATTTAATTGTGTAGCAATCAACCATGGGCTAATACCTACCGTAGGAGTCTTCTGAGGGCAGAAAATGTGCGCTCTGAAGTCGCCTATGTCACAGGCATTGTCAAATTCATCTTTGTTCTTTTTAGCACCAAAGTGTGTGGGCTACGGACATCCCCCCTCCCCCCTGCTCCGTCGCCCATGCATAGATGGATACCTCCTATAGATACTGTAATAAAAATTGATCTTTGATAAACTGGGTAACCAATGTTCTGTGTGAGCTGAATGCAAAACCTGTTGATGGTTGACGCTTGCTCAAGTACATTTTAAAGCTAACATTTGGCTCTTCTGTAGGTTGGAAACTTTGAAAGAAGAAGAGTGGAACGGTGACGTCACTGTTGTGTCATGTGACATGCGCGAGTGGGATGCTCCTGAAAAGGTAGGATTTTAGAGTAGTAGTGGCACGTGATCTTATGGCTGTCAAATCTTTCCGTGAATTGATATTCTTGGTTTATCCTCAGGCTGATATTCTTGTGAGTGAGTTGCTGGGCTCATTTGGTGACAACGAGTTATCTCCCGAGTGCTTGGACGGAGCGCAGAGTTTTCTTAAAGGTTAGTGAAATTTCGATATTTTATGGCCCATCCATATATTTCGATTTATTTCCTTATTTATTGCGAGAGCAAGGTTTCAAGAAAACGTAGCTCAGTTTACTAGTATCCAGACCCCATTCACCTTAATAGAGAGCTTAAGCAACAATGACGATGACGACAGCTACGAAAAGGTCACTTAAAAAAAAGTGAAGTCGCACTGCTTCAAACTTTATCGAGCTTATTCCATCTCGTTCAATTCGTCAAATGTTGGCAATTTTTTTTTTTATGACCATTTGTGATAGAGAAATAGGCCCGTCGCCGTCGCCGTTGCTCAAGTGCCCTATTGACTCTAAACGACTTTGACAAGAGTGTGTACGCCTTCCTCTACAGTCTATAAATCAACTGACAAAGTATATGCCTCAAATAACTTGCATCTTTTTCTCCTGGGCTTGAGTCGTTGTAGTTGTGATTTTTTTTTTTTTTTTGCAGACGATGGAATAAGTATCCCGTGTGAATACACGTCCTTTCTGGCTCCAATAGCTGCACCCAAGTTGCACTTTGAAGTCGCTCAGAGTAACGATAGTGGTAAAGGACCATCGGTAATATTACATGCAACTCTTAAAACTCTTAGATCAAGAGGTGTTTTCTCCATGCTGTGTTCCATACAATTTTTATGGTGCTCATGAGGAGAATTTTCGTCACTAGCAGGATATGTTATCTTTGATGATCGTTTCGGATATTCTCATGACCTTGACTACTTATGAAGTATTAAATCGATTAAGCGCCCAGCCTCGAATAAGCGCCTACCCCCTTACCGCCTAGACTTTCCACAAGTCGACTGCGTGAGTGGGCTCGGAGCGAGCGAAAGCGAACGGCGAAAAACCAGCAGAAAAACCGGAAACGGGCTTTTAGAAAGTCTACCTACCACCCCTCACCAAAAAATAATTGACCTCACTAACACTGAGTGAAATAGACCAAGTTCTACCCTGAAGACAATAATAATAATTAATAATTTTATTGATTTGTATTGCGCAAATATCAATCCAGGGAAAGAAATTTTCATCTGCGCATAACATTGACTCAACAAAATCCTAAAATCCTAGTACATATTCCAAAAAAAAGACCGAGTTTTCTTACTGTATTTCAAAGAAACTTTCAATGAACAGTTAAAATTCCGCATTGGAACATTTTAACGTTTTGTTGCAAAATATAATTACTACTGCTGAAAATTGTGAAAATGTAATAAGCGCCAACCTCGAATAAGCGCCCACTCTCAAGGTCCAAAAATTTTACAAGCGCTTAATCGAATAAATACGATATCGTAGGAGAGGCAAAGACGATCTGCTGGGTAGCTTAAAGGCCGTAAAATCTACACCTCTTTTTGTGCCTTTTAAAAGCGAGTTGAATGTACAGTAATTTCAGTCAAATACAACTCGCAACTAGCCCAGCTTTTATTCTTGGCCTCACCGGTTATACAAGTTATCCGTTTGTACTGATGTATCTAGCAAGAATGAAGTCATTTTTTATTAAGAAGTTATACAATTACAAAAAGGAATCAAGAAGTGATGATGGTTCTTATTAGGGTTGATTTTGGAGATGAAGGGCGCTTTCCATTCAACCCAAAATTCCAGAAATTTCGGTTGGTACATCACATGGAACGGACCATTTCGGTTTGCTCCGACCGGAATATTCGGGACCAGCTTTAAAGGTGGTTCACTTTGACCTGCATGTCTGGCCATTTACGTCCGTCGGATCTAAATGTTTCTTTCCATGTGACAAAATTGCTTTCCCCAGTACCGCTCTTTTGTATCCTGCTTACAAGAACAATAACCAAACGCGCGGTAGCTTGGGTCGGGTATGTAAAACCGAAATGTACCGTTCCATTGAGCACGTGAAATTTCCGAAATTTCAAATCGGAATTTTTGTTGAATGGAAAGCGCCGGAAATCATTTGATGTGAACTGCCACTCAAAAGAATTTCTTTCGCAGTTTGACTTGTTACACTTGCTCCTATACAGATATTTTGATATTTTGCCCCATCGTCAATGTCATTTTCCGGATCATTTTACGTTTCTGTGAAACTGCCCGCCTACCCCTCCCCGAAGCCAAAATTTTGCCCTAAATAAGAACTACAGGTGCTAATGTTGGTTTAGGGGAGGGGTAGGTGGGCAGTTTCACAGAAACGTAAAATGATCCCGTTTTCCTATCCTTTTTTCGTATATTTATTTTACTGACATTTGTTTTTTGTAGGCTCCGTTTGAGACCCCCTACGTGGTTCGACTTCATAACGTTGCTGTGATAGCACCTCCTCAGCCCTGCTTTATCTTTTCACATCCAAACAGAGGTTTGTGAACGGTTTCAAACTACTCAAGGTTTGGTAAAACGAGCAATAAAAACGTGCAACTTGTTTTGCAACATGGCTGCGAAACAAGTTGAAATGCTTTGTTGCGCGTTTTACCACCCATGTTCAAACCTGTCTTGCGACAAATCAGGTTGTTGCAGCTGCCTCGTACCCAGACGTCTCTCTCTCGATGAAAATGTGCGCGCAAAGGAAGGCGGGAAGGATACCCTTCCCATGGTCCCTTGCGGTTCATCACCAGTCACTCGTGTTTCGCGCTCGCCTCTACGACGAGAAAAACGAAGCGCCTGAGGAGGAGGCTGTTGTTGCAGGTTATGAAAATTTGTTGCAGAAAGTAGAGAGTAAAACGGTGGTAAAACGCACAGCATCGCTTTTTAACTCGTTTTGCAGCAGTGTTACAAAAACAAGTTGTACGTGTTTGTTGCCCACTTTACCGTAGCCGAACCAGTTACCAGTTTAAGATACCACGACAGCGACGGCGGCAAAAACGTCGCTTATAAAAAGTGACTTCTCGATCTATGAAACTTTAGCGCGATTATCCCAACTCGGTCGCTATGTTTTATGTAGGCGAACTCTCCTGGAGTTGAATTCATAAGAAAAATATCCAGGTTTACAAAGAGTAAGAGAGATTCGTCGTCGTATGTTCACGTTGTCGATAAAAGGTGAAATTAGGCAATTCACGTGGTAGTCGTGCAGTTACGGCAAAGAAATGTACAAAAAAGCGTGATGCACGTGCAGAGTTGTTGTGTTGTTAATCTTAACCCATTGCTTTTTGACATTCTCGTTGCCGTCGCCGTAGTGGCATCTTAAACTCCCTATTGCGTGAAGCTGAGTATGATATGAAGAATTATGCCGATCAAGGATCGAGGGTTTTCTGCCTCAGCAGATAACACCCTCCAAGTACGACATAATTCTTCAGATCATACTCAGCCTTCCCTAATAATTGCTTTATTATTCATTCAAAATTATTAATACTTTAAAACATGCTTAGCTCTTCCCTCAGGCTGTTAAGTTTTTGTCTTCATTTGTCCGTTTCTCTCTCGACAAATTCAGCGAACAGGCTCCACTAGAGGCGAGGTGAGTGCAGCGTGGCTTGGGGCATCAAAACAAAGTCTACAGGCTCTCTCGCCATTTTTCCTCCCCCAAGCCACGCTCGGCTCGTTTCGCTCGCCTGTTCATTTTTTCCCGCACATTGGATAAGACGGACCAATCACAATACAAATCATACCTCCTGTTCTTTGCCTTCCAGTTGAGAGAATCGACAATTCACGCGTGAAATCTTTAGAATTCGAAGCTAAGACAAGTTACACAATGCACGGATTCGCTGGCTACTTTGAAACAGTACTTTACAAGGACGTCACTCTGAGTAAGTACAAATCATAGAATTTTAGTATTGTGTGCTAGCCAAAACGTTAACTTTGCACAGCCTATTAAAAAGGCACCGGGTCATTAGAAAGAAATCGTTGAAGACGCAGAGAAGTTTTGAGGGGATAGCTTAGTTAACCTTTGTCTCAGTGAGTGTTTTGAAGCAATGAGAAAAGATGCTAACGAAAGAACTCATGAACTTTACAGTCGAGGTATCACAAGTGTACCGATATATTCAAATTTACTGATAATATAATGTATTTACCACACCGCGTTTTGCCATTGTCGCGTAGGTTTGTTCGCTTACACATTTTTATGCATCCTCGGAGACCCAGGGGTCACCCAGGGGTCGGGAGAAAAGGCGCGACGGAAGTATTCAAGCGCGGGCGGAAGAGCCCCTGGCTACCGACTCTCACCGGATCATTTCCAAACGGTCGAGTGAATGCTGGCTCCTGATTGGGCACAAAAAATGCTTTGTATTATTGTGCCCAATCGGCGAACAGCATCGCCTAAGTTCTTTTTGTGTGTCCGTACACGACTGCTATAGTCTCGCCGTACTATATTGTACTTGTCCGGTTCGTTGTTCACCATGGTTGTGCCCAAACAGAATTCAGCATTTGCTTGACTGCTTGACCCGACTGACTGCCCCTGGGTCTCCGAGGATTATTTTTATGCTGCACTTTCGGAAAACATCAAGTTCCCTTGTCCGCTGTTATCTCTATTCCCTTTATATTTTTCAGGTATAAGACCAGAAACTCATTCAGAAGGAATGTTCAGCTGGTTTCCATTTTTCTTTCCTATCAAGGTACGTGCAGTTTCGACAAACTTAAGCGGCACGTGACAAACCTAAACCAACCCACAACCTAGCTGGTTGTTTCCATCCGCCAAATTGACATTTTCCTCTCAGTGGCTCTCACAAGACAGTTCACTTTTCTTACATGAAATTTCTCTGTCTCTTGAATTTTCTGTTCATAAAAGTCCAAGTGTCTTCAATTTTGAAGGAAAAAAAAAATTGAGGATTCGATCTCGGAGCATCGGCTCTGCAGTGCATCACTAACCCCTACACCACCGAGGATTTGCTGATAAGTAATGGTTTGATTTGAATATATATAGCAACAACCCCTAACCCTAACCCTAACCCTTACTTTGTGTACGAATCATAAATCTGTCAACGTCAGTTTGGCGGATGGAAATAAGTATTGACCGGCCTTTGCTGGTACCTCTCGCATGCGCACAACCATATCACCCGGGCAGCGGCAGTCATGATGGACTGCTGTTTCGCCTTTGGTTCTCATAGTGCCATATTGAGGCCTGCGTTATATGAAAGCCCACTAGGCGTGTACTATTTTTTGCGGTTTGGTAAACAGCTATGGCATTACCGACACCGAAATGCATATTTTTTTTTAGATATACCACATACGGAATAACCATCGGTCGAAAAACATCATACAGAGGGGCAAAATATCGCGCTTGTGAGCGAAATGTTTTAGCTCTGATGTGAAAAGCAATCTTACAAAACTTCTCGGTCATCTTGCGACTTGATCGATCTCGCTGTTATTAAAATTTAGTGACCGTCCTTACATCTTGGGTTACATGCCTATAAATTGAACAATGTATGCCCGCGATCTATGTTGACGGAGACTGAAAGCAGTCTTCCCTTATCGTAGGAAGTAAACGTTGTAACTACATTTCCTTAAGTTAATTTTATATAAGCAAGCCAATTGTTGACTTTTTCCGCTGACGCCATGTTTTTCTTAATTTAAAGGAACCACAGTATGTAACTGCGGGCTCAACAATAGCTTGCCACTTCTGGAGAAAGTGTACAAGGAAAAAGGTCTGGTACGAGTGGTGCTTATCTCGCCCCACCCCTACCCCTCTTCATAATCCTGGAGGAAGGTCTTACGTCATAGGCCTTTGAAACAGACCAAATATTCCGACCGATTAGTTTTGGTTTGTCTATATTTTTTAAAAAACGCTTTTTTCAATATGTAGAAGGGTAAGTTGAAACTCCTTCTCTTGTAAGGCTTACACAGATATTTGTCTTGGTTTGTGTCTTATCAGAAGGGCTGTTGTTCAATGAATCCTTAATGATTATAACATTTATCCGGATTAAATAAAGTGATTGGTTTCACCGACAGAAACACGTGTTTTCTTAATGCTGTAAGCTGCCTTTTAGGCTAGTCTCAAGAGAAAACGAAAGGAAAAGAATAAAAACTTCTAACATACAGAAAACAAACCCGCTTTTCAAGGCCGGATACAAGCATGTTATCATTTAAAAATTCCGTTTTTGTGCTTGAGTGAGGAGTAATTTGACAAGAAACATCAAGATGCGTGAAAAACCTCTTGTTTGAAATCAGATTTTACATCTGCTGAAGAGAAAGTGAATAGACCCTAGTTAGTACTTCACGTACAAATCAATTTTTGTTTACTTAAACTATTTTAATTGGTCACTTTTTTAGTTTTGTTTTCTCATTGCAGTTTAGTTTTTACTGTAAGCCACGTTTAAACCCTTGATGTTTAAGAAAAAAACATGACACTTAACGATTTTAAGCCCATCTTTTTCCCTCTGACGTTGAATGTTAGTTGAAACCCTTGTGTTTTAGAAGACTCTAGTTTGAATTAATGTAGCTCAGGGGCACCCAACGACAATTTTCGGAAGAATATCTGTTCGGAAGACGATTTTAGATCTAGAATTTTCGGAACATTTGTTGTAAAATTTCTTGCTTGCCTGCCTCTCCTAGGATTTTCGAACATCAAAAAATAGGAAATCCGAACAGATGAAAAATTTTTAGGGGATAAAAATATGCCTATATCTACCGTTTAAATACTAAAATACGTTTAACAGTGCTATGTTTAAGTGGTTTTGAACTATATTCTCGTTGGGTGCCCCTGGTAGCTACATTTTGTTATAAATGTTTCACGCTAAGATGGTGAACAGCTGGTGGAAATCACGCAGCGAGGTCGAGAATTAGGTTGCAAAATCATCAGCTCGTTTTGTTTGAAGTTCTCTACTTTTTTTGTGCTTGCTTCTTTTTAGAGTTTTTGAAGATCGAGGCCAAAGAAAAGCCCTTGAAAACCGAGAAAAAGCTGCTTTCATAGCCTCAAACCACCTATTTAAACGTTTTCGATACCGGCGGAAGGCCGGAACGATCCAACTAAACACAACTTATCATTCCAAACTTTGTATTGTGATATTGATGTTGCACGGAAGCCAGAATATCGTAAATTATTTTCGAATTATTTTCTCGTTTAGCGACTGTGAAAAAAATCGTGACACTGACTATGAAATGCTTTTTCTTAGGAATTACTGTAATAATCACTTGATACTTCATTAAGCAAGAAAAAATTAATTAATAGTAAAGAGAAAGAATGAAAATTTCAAACTGCAATATTTAAATCCCCGCATGTACGCATGAATAGCTGTTGTAGAAGGACGGACAATTTAATTTTGCGGGAGTTTTAATATCAAGTCTTTAGAGCACTTTGATTGACTTTAACATATCGAGAATTACTGCCGAAATAACTTTTTACCCTCAACACTTCCATAAAATACTCGAATGAAGATGAATTAAGCCAAACCAGAAACTCATAAGGGGTTTCTGTCCAAACTTAATTTAACGTTAGTCGTTCGGGTTACTTACTGTGGTTTTTGTACTGAAAGTCATCCTGTAGCTAAGGATAGTATCGAAAATGAGAAAATCAGGATATGGCCATTAATATAACCTACAGTAAATTATTTTTTTCGTACTGTTTCAATATGATCCTCTTTGACTAAATTGTTTTGGTCGAGTTTCGCTCTTGTTTGGACTTTAATGCAGATATTAGTTATGTACTGAAAATACGAAATGTGATTTCAAATTAGAAGATTCGTATTTTGTATAAAGTTTTTATTGATGACTACTGATTTGTTTTCACTTCATTTAAAGTGAAATGGTGGCTGGGTCAATTAATCCATTGTCTAACGCCAAAACCAGCTTCTTTTTCGTTATTAAATCTTGATTACTTTTTTTCTTTTTTCCGCGAGCGTTAACGATCTCTGATGTTTGAAGCTTCAAATGAGCGGAAAGAGAATAACAAGACTTAAACGTTTGCTAATGGTGCGATTCTATTAAAATCTTCTGATAATACCTTTATTTTCTCTTGCGGTGTTTTTCAGTTGCTCGGTTCATTTTCCTAGCTGGAGTCCTTGTTTACAACAACTTGAACTATTTAAATTCCTTAAAACCGAATGCTGATTATAGCAGTAAGAAGTGACATTGTTAATTGTCAACCGGACAAAAGTATAGCACTTAGTCGAAGAGCGATCATTGCTGCAGTATTTTCGATCAGGGTCGCTTGACTTTTCTTAATCGACATGATAGTTTAAATTAGCTGGATTTTTTCGATTTGTGAAATTTACGGAGGATATAGGACTGCCGGTCATTTAGTATTTTAAAAACCTTGGCCGGTTACCGGCCATATAGGCACAGCGCAGTTATTGTTTTCTTTAGGAGGTGTATTCACCTTGCTATTGTGTTCGTTGTGTCGATCAATGCATGTAGGTGCTGGTAAAACTAAGAAACGGATGTTTACTTATTCATCATTACTTATTTATGTAACGTTTCTCATGGTAAAAAGTTCGTGATCGACACCCGTGTGCGAACATAAAAAACATGTTCGTAGTTCCGGCGGGCGATACACTTCAAGAGCACTCGAGAGGTTTGTGTTGGGTCACGTATTATTGCAGTTCATAGTCGCGCGTTCACGTGGTAACAACTTAATGTGATATTTTATATTAATAACCGTGATAGTGCCAGCATTTCCAATTTTTAAAGAAGACTTCACGCGAAGATGAACAACGACTCTAAAGGTTCGCTTGATTTGGGCGCTGAAACGTCTCTCACCGTCGCAGAAGTGGCCCTCAGTGCCGCTTTTCTGTGCCTTGTGAACATCGGTATAATCGTCGGGAATATTCTTGTGTTAATAGTAGTGTGGCGGACTTCAAAACTTCACGAGCCGAACTACTACTTTTTGTGTAGCCTCAGCGTAGCTGATTTACTGGTGGGATTAATCTACTGCCCTTTGCTTATCGCCAGTGTTATTAATCAGACATGGGTGTTTGGAAGTGTTGTGTGCGTAGCCCATGCCGTGACAATTTGTATATCACTGAACGCATCACTGATGAGTTTGTGCGCCATCTCGATCGATCGCTACTACTTCATTACCAAACCTTTGCACTACCGAGAGATCGTGACCAGTCGAAAGACCGCGATCTTCATCGCTTTTGTGTGGTTTCATTCCGTATTCTGGGCCGTGGCGCCTTTATTTAACTGGGGAGAGTACATCTACGAAGAAAGTACCGCAACTTGTAAACCCAACTGGAGCGGTGATGGACTTCTTGACAAGACTTACGCGCTTTGCTTAGCACTGATGTGTTTTTTGCTTCCGGTTTTAGTGATGATTATTGCGTATTTAAGGATCTACAAGGCAGCTCGGAAACAACTACGCAACATTCAGAACATTAATCTTTCTGGAACAGCTGCAAACAGCATGGACGTGACGAAATCTCACAAAGCTGCAAGAACTGTTTCTATAATCATTGGCATGTTTTTCCTTTGTTGGTCCGTGTATACGGCTGTTTCCCTGTGGAAGCTGTTCGCCTCGTTAAGCGAGCTCCCAGCTCGTCTTGTTCGTGCTGGTCTGTATCTTGCTGTGTCCAACAGCTGTGTCAACTTTTATGTGTACGCCGTTAGAGACAAAATTTTCCGACAAGGACTTCGGCATATGTTCGTCTCTCACCGAAGTAATTACATGTACGAGGATGGGACTTTTTCGAACCTGAGTCGAGCGGCGAGGACAACTCCCTCGCATTCGCGAACGGCATTAGAACTCGGTTTTCCGGCTGCGGCTAGTCTTAGTCAGCGTTTTTCATTTCACACATCTTTATGACAAGAGTTTTCTCTTTATCGAGTTAATTTAATAACCAGAAACCTCTGATGTATGGTTCACTTCTCATGAAGGAAGTTGAAAACATCAAACGGACAGTCTGTGACGGATGCCATGGTGGAAGTGCGTACAACTCCATCATGGCATGGTTTGATGATTCTATTGTAGTTTCGCCCCTCTCTTGTAAATGAGAACACGTTTTCTTTTGAAATCTAAGTTGTGGAAAGTCAAGAAAAACTTTTCTAAGTCTTGCTGTTATAAATGTCAAGAAAAAAGTCACAAATTGTACAGGCTTGTGTTTACATGTAGCTGTAAATTAAATAATAATCAACTCATTGAAAATAAAGTCAAATGTTTACAATCACTGCGGAAACATTTTAAAAACCAGTCAAAACTGAACCTCATTAAATCATTTTTCTCTTCATGGAATTAATACAAAATATTATTTTATCCCACTGGAAATCCGTAAGTGACAGGTTTTTTCATCAATGAGCCAAACTGAATTACAAAACAGCTTTTGTTATTAAAACTAATTGTCAAACGCTGTGACCATTCAAAATTGCCGCATTTTCACGATGAAAACTTTCTTTTGTACAATATTTTACGCAGTGAAATTTTTTTTCTCTGTCAAATATTTTCCTTTGTCGCAGTACATTTATTTATATTTGCAAGTTGCTACTTGGGAAAATTCATTAGCTTTAATAGTTTATTCCCCGCGCTACGAATTTTAAATTGATTAGTTTGTAATCATGAGAGTTCGTGATATTAAAATGGTTTAAAAGGAACACGGGAGATCGATATGTTTAATCAAGAGTGTACTTACATAAAAAGTGATCGTGATCGTGATCGTGATCAAAACATTGTTTTATTTTAAACGCAATAGCTAACGATACAATCGACGGAAAAAGACCTCAGCTTAAGGCGCCATTAGAAACTACGCCGGTAACGTGTGCTCTGACTTGATAAGGTCTGTCTTGTTATTTTGAATTTGTGAGATCGGTAAGAACTGATAGTGCTGATAGTTGCTAAACAGACTCGATACGTTTGTTATGCTCCTGGCGCCCCGGAGCCATTCGGGGCCATTAGTTTATCACGAAAGAATAAACATTCAGCTGTTAGGACGTTGTAAAATATTACAGAGGAACATTCTTCAATAACAGCAAACTTCTAGACTGTGTACAGCCGCCCCCTCTCCCAAAAAAACGATTTTTTTTCTGAGGGAAGGGGGCGGCTGTACACAGGGTAACGAATTTCTTAAAAGTTACGAAGAGCTTTCACTTGCTGTTATGGAACAATTTTGCATCCTCGTGAAAACGAGGCTGCGAATAACAGCAATTTTTTAAAAGCGTCAATCGTGAAGGATGGGTTCCGATTGCTCTTGTAACTTTCTAGCCTGCGTTGCAGCTGGCCCACGCACTCGTCTAAACCATTACAGAAGGTTTAGAGCGTCTGCGACGCAGTCAAGTAACTTTCAAGAAATTTGGTGTTGTTGAGTTTATCCCTCTTTTCACTGTCAAATGTAAACCTGATAAAATGAAATCTTCATAGCACTTCAGCGCACGAGGAAGATAAGGGCAACGAGAACGGCAAAAAAGCGACGTGAAATTTCTTAATTTCGCGTTTTACGGAGGACGTGAGCACAAGACAACGATTTTAATTTTTTTTTCTTTTTGTGAACCGGTAGACACAATCCTACAGAATGCAACTCCTGAAAAACTCGCCAACATTTTAGCCTGCTAAAAAAAGCTCCTCGCGAAACGTCCCCAACGGCAAGGAGCGAGGAGAAACGGCTGTTTTCGCAGGCTACCAACATTTGACAAATGAAAAGAGTTGAAATAAGAGCGATGACGTTTGAAGCAGCGCGAATTCACTTTTTGGGTGACGCTGTCACTCCCATTGCCGTCGTCGTTGCTTGGTGGCCAAGTGATCGCGTCACCAACAGATATTATATGATAAGTGATTTTTCGCAAGTGGAGTTTTTCAAAATATCTTTTAAAACAGTATTGGTATATTGTCGTTTATTTTCACTATTAGGGCATTTCATTTACGGATATTATATTGGAGACGTTATAATAGGATCTAAACTAGGTCATATCTGCGTCAACTGCTTGAAGAGTTTTACTTAAAACGTACAAAACTTGTGCGCTTGAGAAGATGTCACGGTAAGGGCATATTCTTGCCGGGGCCAAATTTTTCCTGGTTCTTTCCATACGTCGTAGTTGGTTTATTTTTATGCAAAGCGTATAAACACTATTTTTTTAGCTTCATTACATTTCGGTTGCTCCCAGATACGACGGGAAATTATGCCCTCTAAAGCTAAAAATAACTGAATAAAAATAGCAAGGATAAATTGGCCTGTCCATGTGAAGGCCTTTCGGGTGAATAAAAAAAGTAAAGAATTTGCTTTTTTTGAAACTCTGTTGCTTATATATATAGCCTCGCTCAGTTTGTCAAATTCAGGCGAATTTTGCTGGAGTTGAATTCTTATTAGGGCTATATCTAGTGACTGTTTACACAATCCCCTATTTTTTGAAAGATCGTCAGGATTGAATGCTTGCAGATACCGACGGCCATCTTCATTTCATTTGTACCCAGGGGGCGGGTGTGGGGTTTGATTTTTGACACTCATCAAAGGTGGCAGCCCGTAACGCAAAGCGCTCGATCTCGACGATCTTATGGGAAAATAAGGGACTGTGAACAGTCTATAGATCTAAGTTCAAAAAGAGAAAGGAAAATTAGTCGATTTGTGTCCACATCGTCCAAAACGTCGCATTAGGAAATTTCACCTCGTGGACTGGACCGAAATCAAAGAAATGTCCCAAAAAGTGTGATGCACTTACAGATCGTTGTTTTACTTATAAAATCACTTGTTTTATGAAGACCTTGTTGCCGTTCTCGTTGTGGTTACGCTCCTTAGCTTAATTCTCCCTTTCCGGTTCCCTATTCAAAGGCGTGTCACGCTGGTTCGGGGTGTTCCTAAACATGTGTATGCTTTTTAGTTTGCGGCTAATGGCTCCTGAATCCCCTCATTTTATCTACATTTACATTTATTAAGTTGATAAAATCTTGTAAGACATCACATCAATTGTAATAAAAGCTAAAAGGCTATCTTATAGCCTGTGTTAGGCTCTCGGATACGTTTGACGTTGCGAAAACAAAGCAAAGCATGCGAAAATAAGACGCCCGAGATCTGGAGACGGGGGCGTCGACAGGAAATGAAAAAAAGGTCGCGGCGCGTTTTTCGTATCTTTGCATATCTCTCCCTGACTATCATGGGGCCTGGGACAGGCTATTGATTTTGCAACTACCGGTGTAAAGAGGATGGATTTATTTCTGTTCGTTTAATCACTTCTCCCCTCAGTTCTTTGTTTATTTCTATAGCGGGTGACCGAAAAGAAATTCGAAAGCTTGTGTACTGTTCGGCCTCCCTAAAATAGCGATGAAGTTTGATAGGTTTTCTTAAAGTTTGATGTATTGTGATTTCAAGCAAACTTTCGATCAATATTCTGCGTTAGTTATAATTAACGTTAAGGGTTTTCAGTCTTACTGAGGAAGGAGATATTTATATAGTTATGTCCAGTGCTGTGTAATCCAAGGTGGCCTAATATCTCATCTAGTTCAGTATATTTAATACTGTAAGTTCAACTTGTTTCTTGAATTTTTTTCCGGCTTTTCGGGCCTCAGTTTGGTCTAAAAATAGGGGGGGCTTCCCCTGGATCCGCTACGTTTTGAATCGCCCGAAGATGATTTGTTTTCAGCTAGTAAGCTGCTTCAATGTAAAAAGAAAGCCAGTATTTCTAGACCGCGTCAATCGTCAGGTCTCTTCTCGCCTTAGCACAACTCGCCTCAACACCAGAGGGCACTGAGCTGAGGGGTAAAATGGGATCTGCGCTTTGCCTATTTCGTGTGACCGGGATCAGGTGCATGTGGGGTTGTACTTTTAAAAAATTCCGGCGGAGGTGTGCGGTATGCTGTCTAATACTCTTACCCTATTTTAGACCAAAATATGTGATTTACTCTACCTATTCTAAACCTGAACTGATTTTCTCATGAGATAAATGACCTTGCCCTATTTCAGACCGAATAGGTTATACCAGAAACTGATAAGGGGTTTTCAACCCCTTATGAGTTTCTGGTTATACTGAATCTATATCCAGTTTAGACCCCAAACAGTGCCCTTTTGTGCTGTGCTTATCTATGAGAGAGTATCCCCTGCCCAGGTGACCAAGCACGTCTGCCACTGGGCCAGGAATCGGGTCATTGGGGAACTAAAACGGTAAGGGAAGGTGGATTTGAGCTCTCCCTCTACCGTCTCCATCCCCGTTTCAGCTGCGTGGCAGCACGCAATATAAGCCAAAACAGTTACGAAATCGAAAGTAGTATTGGAAAAAGGAGGCGCAGAATATACCCCAAGTGATGAAATACGTGGGACCTAATCCAAGGTCTCCATGCGGGGGATAGATCGTTTTCACTAACGTGGTCAGCAGCTGGGCAAATTTTTTGGGACAAAAGAAAGTCGTTACGTGAAAAAAGATTTCAATCTTCTTCGGATTTTTTGGAACACCAACATGACTACCGTGACGTCATGAGTAACCATGGCGGATACTCTCTGAAACTGCAATAAGCGTGTAAGTCTCTTGGCCTTTAATAACAACACCACAAAACCAAATTCGAATGAAGATTTATTGTAACCGACGTGCTTGGTACTAAGAGTGTGCATACAAACAGCGTGGGTTGAAACTAAAACGGTAAAAGAGCAAAAAAGTTACAAGTTGCGACTAAGGTAAATTAGAGTAAGGAAATAACAAAGCTGCAAAACGAGGACTGTGAAGTACACTTACATTGTTTCGGCCAGAGAAAACTGCTGTAAAGCGGACTGCGAATAACGCGAAGAGACTTGCAAGAAACTAAACAGAACTGCGCTAAGCGCGGACCAAAATGAACTGCCCAAACTGTACTGCAAAACTACGATATGAAAAATACGCTAGAACATGCGGAAAATAAAACTATAGAAACTTAGAAAGGCGCTAACGAAGATGAAACAGCAAAGAAACGCTAACGAGGGCGCGAAAACTGACAGAAAGGAATAAACACCTAAATTAACGCCAAAAAAAAGACTAAACAAAAGGACGAAAAGAAGTATAAACTAATTTGCGTACGCAAAGGAAAAACAAATTACGCAAGAACGAATAATAGAAAAAATGTTACACTTGGATCTTACATACCGGCCCCATAAGTGGGGAGCACACGCGAGGCACTTAAATGAAACAATTAAAGATCTAAGTGTCTTTCTAAGAGTTCTTAATGTTCTCTTCTCCTGAATTCAGAAAATTGCACAGAAAATAACTCCAAAGGGAAAGTTCAAGCTTCTATCAGCAAGCAAAGTTTGTCAATTGGCCTCTCCAAAACTGCTCCTTTTACTTTCACTCTGGTACGGCGCACCAAACCTTTCTTGTCGGCGAAGACTTCTACCACTCTACCAAGGGGCCATGAATTGCGAGGGGAATTTTCGGCGCTCACTAGAACAATATCCCCAACGGCCAGGTTCTTGCGAATCGTCGTCCATTTCTGCCTACTTTGGAGCAGAGGCAAGTACTCCTTAGACCATCTCTTCCAAAAGATATCTGCGAGATATTGCACTTGTCTCCATCTGCGTCGAGAGAAGGAGTCTTCCTTTTGGAATAACCCAGGGGGCATCTGAGGCTCCGAGCGTAAAAGAAGCAAATGGTTTGGTGTAAGGGGCTCCGGATCATTGGGGTCACCTGAAACTGTGGTGATTGGACGACCATTAATAATGCTTTCCACTTCGCATAGGAGGGTGACTAAACCTTCGTCGTCAACAGTTTGAGTTTGAAGCAAAGCTCGAAGGACCTTGCGCGTTGTTCGAATGCAGCGCTCCCAAACACCTCCATAATGGGAGCCATAGGGGGGGTTGAAGTTCCACTTGATACCCTTCTGAAGTAGAGCTTCGTGAATCTTGTTGTGATTCCACGCGTTGATGGATTCCCTGAGCTCCCTCTCTCCGCCGGTGAAATTGGTACCATTATCGGATCTGATCTCCTTTACCTGGCCCCTTCTTGCTATAAACCTTCTGAGCGCCATCAGGAAAGAATCAGTTTCCAAACTGTGCGCCACTTCAATGTGAACCGCGCGGATAGAAAGACACGTGAAAATGACCCCATATCTTTTCACAAGACTTCGCCCACGGCGTACCTGAAGAGGACCAAAACAATCAATGCCGACAGATGTAAAAGGTGGCTGACCTGGGGTAACACGATCCACGGGAAGGTCAGCCATTTTCTGCTCACAGAACGGGCCTTGACGCCGCCGGCAACTGAAACATTTCGAAAGAACTTTCCTGACAACAGAACTTGCGTTTACGATCCAAAACTTCTCGCGCGCAAGACTGATAACGTACTCTCTTCCAGAGTGACCGGAGATCTGGTGGTAATATTCTACTACAAGGTTGGTCACGTGATCCTTCTTTGGCAAAATAATCTGATGTTTGGCCTCAAATGCAGTGGACGCTAAACTTAACCTCCCACCGACACGTAAGACGCCGTTCACTAAGATTGGATCCAGACTTCGAAGGCTGCTGCTTTTCTTGACTTGCGTACCGTTTTCAGACTTGCTTAACAGCTCAAGCTCATCCGGAAAATTAAACTGCTGGACGTTCCTGAGGATTTCTAGCTCCGCGATTTCCAACTCTGTAACGGTAATTGGTGGTAAAGAAAGGATGGGAGTTGAATGGATCGGCTCTCTCGATTTTCCGCGTTCACTTAACCTTTGCAAGTTTCCACGGTACCGTAAAAACCATGCAACTGACTTCTTCAATCGGTGCCAGGAAGACGCGCGTTGAAAGTACTCAACCACAGGATGCTCCGACTCGGAAACAGAAGCGTGACAAACCTTATAAACCATCTTCACTTCCGGGTCTCCGTCTTGAAGACATCCAAGCGATAAGGGGTTCCTAGGCCAATCTTCTTCTGACTTCCAGAGAAACTCCGGCCCCAGTAACCATCTTTGGCAGCTCAACAATGCATTGGCAGTCAACGCTCTTGAAGCGCAATCTCCAGGATTCGCTACACCTTCCACATAGCGCCACTGATCTGGAC